ACCCTATGACATAGTAATTCTATTCCTAGGTTTTTACCCAATAGAAGCACATAATTATGTGTACCACAAGACATGTACGTGGTTGTATATAGCAATACTATTCCTAGTGGCTGAACATGTCCACCAACATCTGAGTAAATTGTGGTATAATCATATAATGAAATTTCCTATGAGAATAAACAAGTTATTGCGACATGCAGCCACGTGGATGAATTTTACAGATACACTATTGCGTGAAAGAAGACCGACATTTAAAAGTGTATGCTTTTAAATGTCGGTCTTCTTTCACGCAATAGTGTATGGGCGCGGTGGCTCAAGCCTGTAATCCCAGCACTTTGGGAGGCCGAGACGGGCGGATCACGAGGTCAGGAGATCGAGACCATCCTGGCTAACACGGTGAAACCCCGTCTCTACTAAAAATAAAAAAAAAAAACTAGCCGGGCGAGGTGGCGGGCGCCTGTAGTCCCAGCTACTCCGGAGGCTGAGGCAGGAGAATGGCGTGAACCCAGGAGGCGGAGCTTGCAGTGAGCTGAGATCCGGCCACTGCAGTCCAGCCCGGGCTACAGAGCAAGACTCCGTCTCAAAAAAAAAAAAAAAAAAAAAAAGTGTATGCTGCAGAATTCTATTTATACAAAGTTCAAGAAAAGGGAAAATGTATCGGCAGTAAAAGAGGTCAGGATACTGTTTACTTTTGGTGGAAGAGGTAGGGACTGAGATAAGGGCTTTAGAGACTGGCCATGTCCCCCGTTCTGGTCTGGGTGCTGGTTACCCAGGTGTGTTCATTTTGTGGAAATTCACTGAGCTCTTCATTTAAGGTTCACGTACTTTTCTGCATTTTATGCCTTGATTTTAAAATGTTCTTTTAAAAAGTTGAAAATTTGCCTGCTTCTGCCCTTTCTCCGATTACAAGTTTTTACAGCTTTCCTGAACTTCTCAGACTACCAAGTGGAATGAAATGATGACTTTTCCTTCATGGATGAAGGCAACAGTTTTGCTTATATTTTTTATTTTTCCTACAAGGAGATGTTAAATTTAATTCTGGACAGCCTATTTGTTTTTCTAAACTAGCTATTGCCAGGAAAACAGGCTGCAGAATGTAGAGGGGTGTGTGTGTGTGTGTGTGTGTGTATGCTTTAGGTGTGTGTAATTGTGATGCATTTATGTGCATATAGGTGTGCATTTGCATGTGTTTGCAAGCCACACACATGACCGTGCGTGTGTGTTTATATTTCCTTCTTACATTGATATTCTTGGATAGCAACAAAAATAAACGAAGTCGTTTCTAAACATCTGGCTAGGCAAAGAAACGGCCCCTTCAATATTATGTCAATGTCTGAGGCACATAGCACATGTTCAAAAAATATTTGTTGAATGAATGAAAGAATGAAAAAAAATTAATGAACAAAAGAAAATGGGAGAGTAGAAATGGCTTGGATATATGTCTTTAATTTTGGGTATAGTTGTTGCTGGAGAAGTCAATTATTCAACTACGTTCCCTCCTAGCCTGTCTTCCGGACACTGCTGAGACAGATGAGGAAAGGGCGTCTGACTCATTTTACTCAGTTAATGGCTCTCGACCCTCCTTTCCGGATTCTGGGCCAGCCAAGGCCATGCCCGCAGTTGCTGCTCAGCTTCTTTCCTGGTAGGGTCAAGGGCCGGGTGAGCTAATATTTGTTCAGCTTGTCCCACTACTGACACGTTAGGGAAGTGCAGATCCCATAATGTTGTGAGTTCCCATAATGTGACGGCCTCCACATGTCCTCCTCCCCAGGAAGTAGATTGCTCTGTCATTTAAATGATTTTATCAATATTTGCAATTTTTAAAATTGGGCCAAATAGCTCCCTCTCTTCTCATTTCCGAGTCTGTTTACTGTCTCCCCTGGGCTCTGCTCCTCTGCCTGTTTACTGTCTCCCCTGGGCGGCCTGTTTACTGTCTCCTGGCTCTGCTCCTCTGCCTGCTTACTGTCTCCTGGTCTGCTCCTCTGTCTCACTTTGAAATGCTCCTGGCACATCCCTGTCAGCAACCACTGGAGCTTCCGTGATTAGCTGCTCCCTTTGCCCCTTCGAAGTTTGTAGCTCAATTCCCCTGGTGACGCAATGCTGGCCCAGGCTATCCGTGACTCCCTGCAGTCTCCCTCCACCTCCACAGGGAGCAGAGGTGCCTCAGGGCAGCCCGAGCCCTCCAGTCACCAGCCCCGCTAGGCCAGCAGCTACAAGGCCCCCCCGCACTGTCGCTGGTTAGCCCTGGGGATCATCGGCAGGGGATGGCAAACATGGAGCCAGGGCGCCACCAAACCTGGCTCCTGCATCCAGGATACACACCGCTAATCTACTGCAATATTCTTCTTCTCAGAGCCTAGAGAAAAGCTGAGAATCCTTCTAGGGCTAGTGCACTCAACGAGCACCACCCTTCAATAGAAACGGAAATGTGTCTCCTATCTCTATGGTTTCAAGTTGCCACACACATGGCGTTCTCTGAATTTTCCATCAGCATTTAAGACCCACTTCTCTGAGAAGAATGGAGCTACAAAAAAATGGACCCAGCACGGTGGCTCACGCCTGCAGTCCCAATGCTTTGGGAGGCTGAAGTGGGAGGATCACTTGAGGCCAGGAGTTCAAGACCAGCCTGGCCAACACGGTGAAACTCCGCCCCTACTAAAAATACAAAAATTAGCTGGGTGCAGTGGCACATGCCTGTAGTCCCAGCTACTTGGGAGGCTGAGGCACTAGACTTGCTTGAACCCGGGAGGCAGAGGTTGCAGCGAGCTGAGATTGTGCCATTGTACTCCAGCCTGGGTGACAGGGTAAGACCCTGCCTCCAAAAAGATTTAAAAAAAAAAAAAAAAAACAAATGTACCCAGCACAGTGGCTCATGCCTGTAATCCCAGTGCTTTGGGAGGCCAAGGTGGGAGGACCACTTGATACCAGGACTTTGAGACTAGCCTGCACAACAGAGTGACCCTGTTTCTACAAATAATAATTTTAAAAATTAGTCAGTTATAGTGACATGCTCTTGTAGTCCCAGCTACTCAGGAGGCTGAGGCGAGAGGATCGCTTGAACCTAGGAGATTGAGGCTGCAGTGAGCTATGATCACGTCACCGCACTCCAACCTGGATGACAGAGCAAGACCCTGTCTCAAAAAAAAAAAAAGTAAAGAAAAAATGTCTGATGGAGACTCATGGTCCAGCAAGGTGCCAGGCAAGTTGGGGCAAGAGAAAGGATCATAAGCCCTTTGTTGAAGCTGCTTATGGTATCCCTGGGAGGGGCAGGACATATACATGAACTAAGGGGTTCATCAGGGGCTGGGCAGAGCAGCTTTGGTGGGAGGCCCCCATCATGGATAGAGAGAGACGTGGCAGAGCAGACAGGGACTGGGGGAAGCAGGAGCAGTCAGAGCAGACCCCCAGGTGAAGGAGCCCAGGGCTCAGGAGATGTATTTGGGAGATGGAGGCCAATGACAAGGACACAACTGCAAGGTGCTACCACTCTGGGGCAGGAGATGAGCTGGGCAGGAGGAGAACCCTCTGCAGTGCTAAAAGTGGGCCACAGGGTCCTCCGTGCTGACAGAGTAGGCCTGGACAGTGTGCAGGGGACAGCATCCAAGCCCCACGCTTTCCCATCTTTTCTCCCAGTCTGACGCAAAGCTTACTGGAGAGAGGGGAGGGCCGAGCAGGGAAGGAGGGAGGTTGGGGAAGGGACACAGCAGGCTCTGGCTGTCTGGAGCCACCCCCTACTCTACATTGAGAGGACTCGGCCCCTCTTGAAAGATGTGTCATCAGTGCTTAGGTCGGGGCAATGACATGACTTGGAAAGAAGCAAATGGTTTCCAACAAAGAAAATTGTACAGGATCAGGGGGCTTGGGGAAATGCATGGCGATGTGAGCTCTGGGACAAATCGATGTCGACTCGAAAGGAAAACGGAAAAGCCGTGGTGGTGAGAAACACCCGTGTGCCTGCCACTCCGGGGAAGAGCTGTGGCGTCTCTGGCTCAGGAGTGCAAGCGAAGGCCTCGGAAACAGCAACTTTGGCAGGGGGCCCACACCTTGATTCCCTTCTCCTCACTTGCTTCTCCCACATTAAAAACACAGCTCTAATGAATCACCACATTCTAGCTCTTTTCCTATCTCCCAGTGCTAAGACGTTTCCAGTAGGAGAGCTGACCTGGAGCCAAACAGCAGTTCCTCCTGGTGGTGCATGACTCATTGGAAAAAGTGTCTCATAGGCTATTAAAAGAGTGGGGGAGGGCGGGTAAAACATTTGGCTTCAAAGCAAATTATATGGAAACTAAACAAAGTACATGTAATTCCGACACTGAATACTGCTTTCCTCAAATAACAAGACAGAGAAAAAAAATGGGCTCTTTAGTTAACGCAATGCACAGATGTTCCAGAAATGAATTAAATGCTTCAAAACAATGCAAATGAAACTCAGCTTAAACAGGTCAATATGTGAATGTGTGTTTATCTGCTAAACTCACACATGCAAAAGAAATGAAGCATCTTTACTTCCTTAAACTCACCTCGTCACGCTTGGAAGCCCTCATTCCTGAGGATGTGGGGACCAGAAACATAAACCTAACAAGGTAATGCCACCAGTTACTTCCACAGGAAAAAAAATGAGTTTTATTCAACCTAAGAAAGCTGATTTTTTTTTTCAAACAAAGTTTTAAAGGTCAGGTTAGTGTGGTCATTTTCCTGAACCGAGGAGTACCTTTTGCATCATGCCTATTACTGGACACAACAAGTTCCCAGAAGCATGTGATTATCTCACAGTACAACACCTACATGTTGTTTACTTTTCCAGGTAATTTGGTGGTTTGAAAGCATCCTATAATCTTAGACCCTATGTTTTTTTAAAAAAAACAAAAACAAAAAAAACTGCCCTCTGAATGATGCTATAAAAAATTTTATCACTGATGGTTCTCCCCCGTGATATTACGAGCAGTGTTTGTACATTTCAGTGTTTGTGTATTTCATCAATCAACACTAAGTTATATTACCTCTTAAAAAATGTCATCACGGTTTCATGAGTTGGCATTGCCTGAATCTTGTAGTTTAGTTGCAAGAAGACCCACAAAAGCATTGTTTTCAGAAGACGGAATTCACTAAAGGTAAACAACCTGACCAAAATAAAAAGATGGAGAAGAAATTTTAGAACTAGCACAAAATCATGCTGCTTGTAAGAAACTGGTTAGAATGAGTCTGGGAATGAGGTGACACCACCTTTGAGTCGGAAGGTAGCCTCAGACACCGAGCAGGTAAACAGCTTACTCAAGGCCACTCAACTGGGAAATGGCGGAGCTAGGATTTGACTCTCAGCAGCCTGACACGGGGGCCTGTGTTTTCACCCACCCTCTGTGCCCCTGCAATGTGATGATCATTATTTAATGAGCTCTTACTATGTGCCAGGTGTTCCCAAGATGTTTTCTGTAGATTCTTTCATTTAATCCCACACAACCATCCTGCAAAGTTAGGATATAGTCCTTATTTTTATAGATGTAGAAATTGAGATTAAACCTATGTTTATTTAAAATTTCAGTATTTTGTTCATCATGGCATTTTTTGCATCAATTTTTTTTAAAATTTATTTTCATTTATTTTTGTAAATAGTGGCCTTTACCACTATTTTTCTTTTTCTTTTCTTTTTTTTTTTAATTATACTTTAAGTTCTAGGGTACATGTGCACAATGTGCAGGTTTGTTACACATGTATACATGTGCCATGTTGGTGTGCTGCACCCACTAACTCGTCATTTACATTAGGTATATCTCCTAATGCTATCCCTCCCCCTCCCCCATCCACACAATAGGACCCGGTATGTGATGTTCCCCTTCCTGTGTCCAAGTGATCTCATTGTTCAATTCCCACCTATGAGTGAGAACATGCGGTATTTGGTTTCCTGTTCTTGCGATAGTTTGCTGAGAATGATAGTTTCCAGCTGCATCCACGTCCCTACAAAGGACACGAACTCATCCTTTTTTATGGCTGCATAGTATTCCATGGTGTATATGTGCCACATTTTCTTAATCCAGTCTGTCACTTTTAATTCTAATATATTACAGTAAAACATGCTGCATCTTCATGACTAAGTTTTTTTGGTGCTCCCTTAAATTTTGCACCAAGGTGCCTCACTCACTTCACCTGAGTTCTGGCCATGATTGAGGGCTGAAACCTGAATAACTTATCCAAGGTCACACAATTCTGGGCTCAGACCTGGGTACAGGGCAGGTTAGAATCTCAGTTTCTCACCAAATTGGCTGTGGAACCTCCTGTGAGTTGCTCAATTGCCCTGCAGCTGCAACGTCCTCATCGGTGAAAGTGTGATCACAGCAGCTTCTCAGAGGAGAGTGGTGCGGAGCGGATGAGGTGAGTGTATGAGTTTCCTATCACTCTTATGACAAATTGTCACAAACCAAGTGGTTCAAAACAAAATGAATTTATTTTCTCATCATTCTGGAGGTCAGAAGTACCAGACAAGGTAAGATCAAGTTGTCAGCAGGGCTGTGTTTCTTCTAGAGGCTCAAGGGAGAATTGTTTCCTTGCCTTTTCCAGCACCTAGAAGCCACCCACGTTCCTTTGCTTATGGCCCCTTTCTCAGTCTTCAAGTCAGCAGTTCAGCATCTTCAAATCTCTCTATGGTTCTGACTCTTTGGCTTCCCTCTTCACATTTACATGGTCGTTGTGATCACCATGGGCCCACCCAGGTCATCCAGAATAAGCTCCTCATTGTAAAGCCAGCTGACACGATTAACAATAGCAAAGACATGGAATCAACCTACGTGCCCATCAATGGTGGAGTGGATAAAGAAACTGGTACATATACACATAAAATACTATACAGCCATAAAAAAGAACAAAGGCATGTCCTTTGCAGCAACACGGGTAGAGCTGGAGGCCATTATCCTAAGCAAATTGACACAGGAATAGAAAACTAAATACTGCATGTTCTCACTTATCAGTGGGAGCTTAAACATTGAGTACACATGGACACCATTAAGGTAACAATAGACACAGGGTCTACTTGACGGTGGGGGGTAAAAAGAGGGCGAGGATTGAAAAACTGTGTATAGGGTTGTATTGTTCTGTTCTTGAATTGCTACAGAGAAATATCTGGGACCGGGTAATTGTAAAGAAAAGCGATTTACTTGTCTCACAGTTCCACGGGCTGTACAGGAAGCATGATGCTGGCATCTGCTTGGCTTCTGGAGAGGCCTCAGGAAACTTACAATCTTGGCAGAAGATAAAGGAGGAGGAGGATTTCACACAGCCAGAGCAAGAGCAGGAGGTGCCACATACTTTTAAATGACCAGATCTCAAGAGAACTCACTCACTATCAAGAGAAGAGCACCAAGAGGATGGTGCTAAGCCGTTAGTGAGAAATCCAGTCCCAGGATTCAATCACCTCTCACCAGGCCCCATCTCCAACACTGGGGATTACAATTCAACATGAGATTTGGTGGGGACGCACATCCAAACTATATCAAGGATATTATACTGATCACCTGGGTGACAAAATTATCTGTACACCAAATCCCTGTGATATGCAATTTACTCATGTAACAACCTGCACATGTACCCCTGAACCTAGAATAAAAGTTGGAAAGAAAGAAAAGAATTAGCTGATTAGTGACCTTAGTTCCATCTGCAGCCTTCGTTTCCTTTGCCATGCAACCTAACATATTCACAGGTTCCAGCGAGTGGGATGTGGACATCTGTAGGGCCATCATTCTACTGACTGCACACACATACATAAGTACAGTGCCTGGCACATCACGGCATGCTCAGCGGATAGAAGCTCTTATGGATACGTGGCAGAGTCAGGTCCTAGCTGCAGAGCCCGTGCAGTACCTGCTGCAGCATGAGGCCTCTCTTCCATAAACAAGCATTGCCAAAGAATAGCTGCTACCCCGTAATGTCAGCTCTGTAAGTACGGCTGTTTCCCAGCCCCCTTCTCTAGCAGCCTCTGATGGTTATCTATGGAGCCATTTCAACATTTCTTAAACCCGTTGACATTTTCAGTCTCTGACCATGGACATAGCACCCTGGCCTTAAAATACGTCACCACTTCCACACTCAACCACTGTATGTGGTTATGGTGGGTGGCACAAAAGACAAATCGTGACTCTAAAGGACAATGAAAATGTCACCCACCTCTCATGCTATTTCTGAACAGAGTAAAACTGTCACTTTCCTCTCCGTTGGTTTTCAGGCCACCTACAAACGCATGGACTTTGACTCTGGCCAGACAGGACCAAGTTTGTCACCATCTGGGCAAATCATCGTGAGGCCAGAAAGGGAGACTCTCTCCAGAGCCACTTGGTATGATGTCCCCGTGAAGAACTTTGTCAGCTGGGCTGGCAAAGTGGTGTGACTTCCAGTGTAGACTCCACACCTGAGGTCCTCAAGCCCAGAAGGTCCTTTGAGGTCTTACTAAAGAGGGGCTAGCAGCAACACTGGGGAGTCCTTGGGAGCTCCCTGAATCAGAATCCTGGTTCTATTATTTATGAAGGATAATTATTAAAGTCAATTCCTCTGTCTTTAGGTCAATATCAGACCTGAAAGTATTTGTTTTTGCAACAGATAACCACACCAGAGACATTCGTACACCTTTTCATTTACCTAAGAGCTCTGATGGCCTCAATCAAGACAGAACCCACATGGACTTGAACCTCCCTCTACGGGCTGTACCATGTGTGTTTAAAGCAGCCATTGGAATGTAAATGGTGTTTATTCTTTAGGGGAAAAAACGCTTTTCATAAGACACTGTCCTCTATTTTTTACTGAGAAAATTATATATCAACAATAAGAGCCCTCTTTTGCATGTAGACCATACAGAAAATCATGACCATGCAAGTAAGATATGAACAAGGATGCCCACTGCTGCATCGCTTGTCACAGCAAACAAACAAACAAAACAAAACAAAAGGCCATTAGGAAAGGAGTGAAAAGAGATCGTTGTGCATTCATTCAATAGAACCCTGTACAATTAAAATTTTAAATGCTAATTAGATATGTAAATATCAACATGGAGAGAACACAGCACACAACATCCGCGAATAAGTTGCAGAACGTTACAATCACAATGAGAACATGTATTTCAAGTTTAAATCTTTTAAAGCAATATTATTTATGTGGTAAGAGTAAAATCACATAGATTAAATCTGCACGAGTTCCTAACAGTGGTTTGTCTTTAGGAGGGAAGGAGGCAGAAAGTGAGGAAAGGAATGGGACTGGGAGGGGAACATAGGCGACTTCTGCTTCACTGGAAATGTTTGATTTCTCAATTTCAGACAAAATATTAATATTCGTTCATTTGGGGAGATGAATACAACTGCGTTTTGTATTATCATTCTACCTTTATACTTTTTTAACAGTAAAAATAACATCAATATTCTTATCGTTCTTGACCATCAATAAGGAAAAAGAAGGCCTCATGCAGAGTACATCAGTGGGCTGGTAATGACCACAGGCTTTAGGCCACTCAGACGTGGGTTCAAATCCCAACTCTCATGTTGCACAAGGAGACCTTCAGCTGATCCCGTCATTTCCTATCATCTCTATTCCACAGGAAACGCCAATAACAGTATCCACCTCATTAGGCTGCTGTAGGAATCAGTCTGGACAATCCACTTAGAGTATTTTGCATACAACTAGTGCTTAATAATTGATGGGTATTGTATTAACTAAAGAAGCGTTGGATTCAAGAACTATTATATTTGAGATGGGTGCCCGGGGTGTCCCAGACACCCTTGGGAAACTTGTCCCATGCTAGTGGGCAAGCTGTGGGACAGATGCAACAAGGAGGACATGCGTAGCTCTTCTTAGGGAATTCCTGAGACCTCGAGACTTCTCAGATTATAGGCGCGAAGTCAGGGAGAACTGGAAACACAGGGATGCACTGCCCCTGGTTGCAAGGTAGTCTTTTGTTGAGATGGGAGCTAGACAGTGCTCTGAGATCTCCATCCTCCTAAGTCCGTGAGGAGCTTGGCTTCCAGAAAAACAGAACTTGGAAGGAAAGTTTCTTAGAGTTAATAGAAACAGGGTAACCCAGTAGTGACCTCTAAAAAATTAAATGAAAACCAAATGCCAGGGAAAGAAATTAAAACCAGAGGCTCAGGAGGTCAGGAAAACTGTTGCATATTTTACCCCAGGTGGTTTACAAAATGGAAAGCAAAACCTGAAGAAAGTTGAACTCAAGGGACTTCAGATGGAGATGGCCGAATGGCCCAGAAGTTGCAGCATCTGCTAAGAAATGGATGTTGTTCCAAACACCTGTGACCACAAAGAGGGGACTGGACCCACAGCTGGAGGGCCAGATAAGTCAGGGCGAGGGCCACTCCACCCCTGACCTTGGAGTCTGCATTTCCAGACATCCCACTCTGGGGCCACGTGGCTCCTTGGGACCACTCGGTTCTCGCTATGTCTTTTTAGTTGCTGGTAGCTTTGGCCTCCATGACCACCGATGAGGGGTGCAGCACACAGGGCAAGGCGTGGACTCTGGAGCCAGTGGAGGTCCTGCCCTGCCCATCATTAGCCCTCTTATATCAGGGATGATAACTGTGCCCACCACATGGGATGGTGGGGATAGAAAGGGACAGTGCACATAGCACCCAGCACACACCAAAATGTTTGCTCGAGAAAGGTGCATTCTGAAACAGCTGTGGGCCACGGTGCCAAATCCACTGGCCAGCAGTCTGAAACTCACAAGCACCCTAATATGAGAAGCCCTAGCTGGTGAAACTTCTAACAAGCCCCCTCTTCCTGAACCCTGTCTCCCACCTCTCTCAAGCTTTAACGCAGGCAGCCACTGGAGATCAACCTCAGAAGATGTGAGCAGAGGCTGGGGAGTGGTCAGCCTGGGCACGTGGCTGATGACAAGCCCAAAGCCACACAGGGCTCTTCTCCCCTTCAGTGATAGCCCTAGACTGTCTGTGCAGACAGCTCCTGGGGAGGGGCCGGAGGAGCAGGACCCATTTTCCACATCAGTCATGTCTGCCAAGCTGGTGAGTCTAGACACTTGACACGTAATGCTCTTGACCTCTTTTCCTGCCCCGCGTACGTTTGTCAGGCTTATCCCACCACTAACCTTCTGGTTGTGGTCAGACACTCTTTTCTCCTTTCTTGGTTAATGCTGCCAGGGTGTGACAGCTCAGCCTTTCCAAGGGAGGGACAATGTTATGAAAAGTCTAAGGGATGCCATGTTTATCTTTTCTTCAACAATTGCGCAACCTTTGCTCGCTGGGCAGTGGGGGAGCACCTAAGCAGGGAAAAGCCGAGAACACCACGGAATGACGTTAGGAGTGAGCCAGTGCCCTCGGCTGGCATGAGACTGGGACTCCTGGAGGCTTCCTAGAGAATATGGTCTCCTTCCCTCTGTCCCAGATCTGGTCTACCTGCCTCACATCTCCGTAAATGTGAGGGCATTGCACACGACGTAGCCAATTCAGCTCAACAGTAGAATAAATCTTTCCAAATCTAATTTCTGAAATCAGAACACTTTCCACACATAAACATGAGTAAACACTCACTTTCTAATATTCTACTAGGATTTTAAGCAGAATTGAGTTTTCACTTTTGAAATTTACTCAAAGGTAATAACATTTTGGTAACTTGGAAATGGGTACCAAGATCCTTTTAAATAGAGTCCTAAAGAGATATGACAACTAATGGTCCTAAACAGCATTGAAGAAAGAAAAAATGCTATAAAAGGCAATATTGGGCAAATGACATTAAAGTATTACATTGATGTAAATTTCTTGAAGTTGATAACTGCACTATAGTTATATTTTTCAAAAATTATTTTTCTTAGGAAATAAACACTGAAGCATGTGGAGTAAAGGAACTTAACAAACGCAACTTACCCCCAAATATTAATAGTTCAGAAAAAACAAGTGTATATGTAGATACACATAGAGATGCAGATGATATAGCAAGCAAGGCAGAAATTGAACTCTATGGTGATTGGCAGTACCGAGTGTAACTACATATTCTATGCATTGTTGTGTATATATTCTATGTCTATATTCTATGCATTATTCTATGCATAGAATAGAATATATATTCTATGCAGTATAGCATATATTCTATGCATTATATATTGTATATATTCTATGCATTATTCTTGCAACTTTTCTTTAAGTTTGAAATTATTTTCAAATAAAAATGTTTAAAAGACTAATACAAAATAGAAAGTTCTTTTGACTTAGTAACTTCACTTCTAGGAATTTAATGTGGGAAAAGAATCTGAGATAAAGACAAATGTTGAAGGATGTTCACCAGTGCGCTATTTACATTGGTAAAACATTGGAAATAACCTAAAAAACCCGGCATTGGGAAACATCTCCATGAATTTCTGTAAGGGAGAAGGAGCTGGCAGGGGACAGGCATTTCAGGCAGGAGGATGGGCATGAACCAAGGCCTGGTATGGGGAGGAGTTCAGCAGGGAAGTTTCAGGAGGGGGGCCCGTGGCTGCACTTAAGCTGTGTGAGTTGAAGAAGCCAGGTCACCAGAGGCAAAGGCTGTAGGCTAGAGACGCGATTAGAAGGGGGTCCAGACCAGAAGCAAGACAGTTAGAGGTCACCTTGGTCCAAAATAAGAGACATTGGACCTCCGATCTTGGGCTGGGGCTGCTACCCGTGGAGAGAGGCCCATAGAGCTGGACTTGATTTGGAAGGAGAAATGACCTCGAGGTTGGGGTGTGGTCACAGTGGCATCCAGGACTATCAAGGCTCTAGCTTGATCCGCTAGTCAGATGGTGGAGGAACACTGGGGGCAGGGTTGGGGTGCAGGAAAGGGCAGGGGCACCGAGAGATGGGTTTTCATCTTAATTGTCGGAGAGGTCAAGCAGGTGGTCAGATACGTGGGTGTAGAGTTATTCAGCAGAGGAGTCAACGCTGGAGATGTAAACTGATTTAAGGTGAGAGATTTTATTTTCTATAAAGAATGTGCATTAATGTTGTCAGGATATTTTTCTAAAAATTACCTAGGTTATTAAGTCTTTCATTTTTTGCACCCAGGCAAAAATACCTGAGACAGCAGGTACTGAGAGGGTCCCTACCCACAAGAAGGAGCGTGAAGGGAGCCCTTTCCCCAGCCACACACATCACCCTGAGTTCCAGCCCCAGCCAAGGCCCAGCTGTCCAGGAGGGCAGGAAGCTTAAGGAGTGAGTGCAGCCTCCCCTAGAGCACTTCCCTCCCCAGGCCGGCCCCTACTTTCTCCCATTCCCCCGTCAGGGGCCGCACCCTGGGAGCCAGCTCTGACCTGGGGGACTTCAGCACTTTGTGGAGCAGGTCCTGCGGGATTTTGCGGAGGTGGATCTGCATCCCCACTAGAGGAACCAAGTTCATTTCCAGCCACTTCTCGCAGGCGGTGGTGAGCTGCTCTTCCTTGTACTAAGACAAGAAAAACCAGTTGATGAAGGAAGTCCTGAGCTCTTGGCGCCCCCTACTGGCCTGCGACGACACTACATGTGTGCTCAGAAGGAGGGTCTCTGCAAACGTGCTCAAACCTTTTCTACAAAATAGCTGGAAACCATCACTCTCAGCAAACTATCACAAGAACAGAAAACCAAACACCGCATGTTCTCACTCATAGGTGGGAAATGAATAATGAGATCACTTGGACACAGGAAGGGGAACATCACACACCGGGGCCTGTTGGAGGGTAGGGGGAGGGGAGAGGGATAGCATTAGGAGATAGACCTAATGTAAATCACGAGTTAACGGGTGCAGCACACCAACATGGCACATGTATACATGTGTAACAAACCTGCGCGTTGTGCACATGTACACTAGAACTTAGAGTATAATAAAAAAAAAAAAAGAAAAAAAAGAAAAGGCCGGGCGCGGTGGCTCACGTCTGTAATCCCAGCACTTTGGGAGGCCGAGGCGAGCAGATCACGAGGTCAGGCGATCGAGACCATCCTGGCTAACACGGTGAAACCCCGTCTCTACTAAAAATACAAAAAATTAGCCAGGTGTTGTAGCAGGTGCCTGTAGTCCCAGCTACTCGGGAGGCTGAGGCCGGAGAATGGCGTAAACCTGGGAGGCAGAGCTTGCAGTGAGCCGAGATCGCACCACTGCCCTCCAGCCTGGGCAACAGAGCGAGACTCTGTCTCAAAAATAAAAGAAAAGAAAAGAAAAAAGAAAAAATACATGAATTACAGCGTATACCTTTTCTAAGTGTTTTCTATGCTCGAGGCGCTGCCCTCAGTTGATTTAAATCAATCCTCCTTGAAAACTTATGACATGGGATTACTGTTATCCCTATGTCACTGGTGGAGAAACGGATGCTCCCAGTTTCCTGCTCTTGCCTGTGGTCACACAACTTGCAAGTGGCAGAGCTGGATGCAAACGCAGGCAGCCTGACTATAGGCCTTGCCACCGGCTCAAGTCAGTGGCCGATCATGGAGGGCCCAAGCGGTGTTCCCCGCGGGAGTTCTGAGGCTATGATGCGAACACACCCAAAAAGCAAGAATTAAAGGGCAGTGAAAGTGGAAAAGGCTTCCCAGAGCCAGGGACCTTGAGAGAGTTTTAGTACATCTCAAATAGCTTCAGGGCCTGGGGTCCTTCTGCAGCCCAAGCATTGCTGAGAAATGCTGACCAGGATGCAGATGCCACCACAAGTGGCCTTGGAATTACCACTGGGGCGAAGGGGAGGACGCGACGATAGGAGAACTGTGGCCTGCTGACTGGTATCCCCCCAGGTCACTGGTGGCCATACAGAGAGAGCTGGAGTCAGGAGGCCTGGGGTTCAGACCCAGCTGGTTCCCCTGGGCAGGTTGCTGCCCTCCTTGGCTCTGTTTTCTCCTCTGACAATGAGGTTGGATTCTATCATTTATTCCTAACCCTGACACACTGATTAGATCCAGGTGAGTCCAGACCTCACGACTCCAGCAAGAATGTCCTGGGAGCTGTTCTGCTGTTTCAGTGAGAAAGGCTGTGCTGCTTCTTCCCGCATCTAAGATTAAAGTCTTTCTATTTTTTTTTTTTTGGTGTTGAAACATCCTTTTAAAAATAAAATGATGTTTTTAAAAAAATGTGTTCATGTGGCAAAATAAAATATTTGGTGACTTCAAATCAGTATTCTGGGGGGAAGTAGGCCTGGTGGGTAAAATCCCAGCATGTGGCTGCTCCTGAAGCCCCCTCAAGGGGCGATGTGCCCTGTCTGGGTTGTTCTCACCTTGCAGCCGGCCTCGTAGAAGTTCTTGATGGTGCTTGGCATGAGTCTGGTTATCATCACATCCACGCACCTGGGGAGAGAGAACGGCGGTTATCCACGCACCTGGGGAGAGAGAACGGCGGTTATCATCACATCCACGCACCTGGGGAGAGAGAACGGCGGTTATCATCACATCCACGCACCTGGGAGAGAGAACGGCAGCAGCCATCACATCCACGCACCTGGGGAGAGAGAACGGCGGTTATCATCACATCCACGCACCTGGGGAGAGAGAACGGCGGTTATCATCACATCCACGCACCTGGAGAGAGAGAACGGCAGTTTCTGGAGGAACCCCACACTGCTTTTGGAGAAGCGGGAAGTCCCAGAGGTTCTTATTCAACTCCAGGGCAGCAGCAGACTTTTGCATGGAAGGGAGCCTCACTTTAGGGATATGGACATTTGGCCAGAGGATAAGACCAACAGGGCTTGTTAGAAATAGCTCTGGGCCTGGGAGATGAGGCCAGAGATCAAATCCTTCAAGAGAAAACAAAGTAACCCTATAGCAGGGAACAAGGATTATTGCTCAAAGCTGAAGTGCCACCAGGTGCTGAGTTGAGGTTTGATTTTAGCCAACACAGCCATCTGGTCATCCCCCTGCCTGAGGATTGTCTTCCTGTACGGACCCTTATGGTGCCACCAGGGGGGCCTCAAGTCCCATTCCTCTCTGCCCACAAATGGAATCAAAGAGCAGCTTTCAGATGAAGGTCTCTGTGAGCTCATGACTAGGACCGGTTGATTTGGCTCACCCACCCATGAAGGATCTATTCACTGAGCACGTACCGTGTGCTAGGCACCCAGAGAGGTCCTTGGTGTGCAAAGAACAAAACTGATGGGCCATTGAGGTGACATGTTAAGTCAACTTTCAAACAGATAACCACATTTGACAGTCATGTTAAGGATTAAAAAGTTAAAGAACAAGGTGTGATGGAAAGGCAGAAAATGGAGACTTCAGCCTAGTGTGGTTAAATCAGAAAAGTGACCGGAAATCAGAAGAGAGGCACTTAAAGCCTGAAAGAGGAGGACAAAGAATTGGCCAGGCCAGGGATTGGAAGACCAGCATTGCAAGAAAAGGAAACAGCATGTGCAAAGGCCCTGGGACAGGAGCAGTTGTCACACTTTGAGGGAATGTCGGGGCTGGCATAGCTGCAGTGCTGTGAGTTTAACACTGCTCCACACTGTCCCTCTTTGACTACTGTAATTCGTCTGGGCTCAGCTCCAGCATCACCTCCTCTTGGAAGTCTCACTGATTGCTCCTCTCCACATACTCCTTTAGCTTTGATTTCCATGACTCCCTTCTTCTACCTGGTTCCTTGCCTCCCTCCTAGAAGGGCATGAGCCGGAGTGGATGGAGTGTGGTAGATGTGCTATGTGGCAGGTAGGGTCACAGACATTTCAGTGACTGAATTTTCACAGCTGATGTTAACCTCTCTGCAGCAAACCTGCCTTGAAGTATGTTCACTTCATTGAACAGGGCACCAGAGAGTAGCCACTGGGATCTCATACTGAAGCACAACCTTGAACTCATTATGACTCAATGGTTGTTCACTTCATTGAGCAGGGCACCACAGAGTAGCCACTGGAATCTCATACTGAAGCATAACCTTGAACTCATTATGACTCAGTGGTTGTCCTAAACTCAGTTGAGATACACACTGCTCATGGGCAGAGGCTTAAAGGACATCCAGTACCTCTTGCACTTATTCTAAAACGTATCCTTCCATAAGGCCAGACCAGAAGGCAGCTGGGGTCTCATTGCCCCCAACAACCACATCCCTGAAGTAGCTTTTACTGAGTTGCATTTTGGTGTGTCGCTTTTGCCAACATCAAGGAAAAAAACATTATAAGATTTATTGTTGCATTTACTCTACAGATATTGTTGAGGACATTGATCATGAGGTTGCTCGGGGTCATCTGCTGAAGACATCCACCGTTTTAATACTAATAGTAGCTGTACTTCTCCCAAGTGAATTGCTTTTTAAACTTTTGTCTAGTTTTTATCTAATATCACTGATCAAGTTTCCCTTTTTATCTGCCACTAGCAAGTTCAGAGCTAAATGTACGGCCCATCTTGGGAAGAGTGTGGGTTATTACAGTTAGTATACAATGATAGCCTCTCCGTCTTTTTCTTCCTCCTTAAACAAACAAACAAACAAACAATTTGGTGTTCTGTGGCTTCTTCATTTCATGTATTCATGGGAGTCACTCAAAGCCTTTACTAGAACAAGGTAAGAAATGATAAATGAATAAATAATCTGGTCATGGCCAAGGCACTCTACCTCCTTGTGTGCTAGGTTCGGCCCTTCAGACAGGGAGACTGACTCTACCCATTAGGAGGTGTCCTGAGTACTGGGGAAACCTGTGCTGAGTAAACATGAGGTGCTGCTGTCATCTCCTGGGCATTTTGCCTTCTAAGACTGCTGAGTCCTGTCAATCCTGTATCTTGGCTGTCTCTTGAGCGTGCCCCTCCTCTCGTTCCCACTTCCCCTGCCTATTTCAGACCCTCCTGGTCTCTCGGCTGAGCCTCTGCATAGCCTCTCAACAGCCTGCCTCCCTGCCCTGCAGCCTCCCACATATCTATCACATCCTTTACACAGGAGGGGCTCAGCCTAAAGCACAGAGGCTCTGCCACTCTCCCCTCCCAAGCCCAGGCTCCCCGCTCTGCTGACTGAACCAAGACCTGCTCATGTGGCTACAGGATCCTGCACGACCTGGGCTCATCCAAACCTCCGGCCATTGCAACTGCACTGGGTCTCAGTGGCCAGGCTCATCCCAGTTTAATGCTGCTCCGCCCTGTCCCCTCTCTCTCCCCCATTGACTGCCGTAATTCTTCCAAGCTCAGGTCCAGCACCACCTCCTCCTGGAAGTCACCCTGATTGCTCCTCCCGACATACTGCCTTAGTTTTGATGTCCATGCCTTCCTTCTTCTACCTGGTTCCTTACCTCCCTCCACCTCCCATGAAACAACAGACTGCCGGGAAGCAACCCTCCCCACCCACATCCATCCTGAGTGCCAGCTCTGTGCTGACCTGTGCTGCTGGTTCTGGAAATGCCAGCAGGGACAGATGGAGGCCCTTTCCTCCTGGAGCTCATGGCCTCACTGGTCAGCAGAGGAGGAAGCCCAAGGTGTGCCGAGGCTGAACAGGAGGCTCGGGCCCCACCCTCATTGGGCACAGGAGCCTTTAGGTGCTAGCTTTTGTCTGTCGAAACCTACAGGGAGCACTAATTGGGCTTGGAGTTGCGGAGGAGAAATGAGTGTCCCAGGAGGCTGACACTTTCTCTTATGCTTCCCCTTCCTCACGGTCAAACCCATTGGCTGGGCTGGACTGGAATGATCAGACTTCCCAGACCAAAGGAAGCAAAGAAAGCCACCCAGGCTCGCCTCTGGGCTCAGGGAGGTGGGGAGTTTCCACTTCTGGAAATTCTAAGGGACCAGGAAGTTGCCCACAGAGGAAGCTCAGCCCTGCGTGGAGGCAAGGAAATGCCCCTCTGGTGCTGTGAGCCTGGAGGAACTCAAGTGACAACCAGGGAGGTGCTCCGTGTGTAAGTGTGTGAGCATGTGTGTGCATACACATGCATGCACATATGTGCTGGGACGTGCAGGTGACAGCCATAATCCCAGCTGTGACTCCAGCCCAAGTGCCAATGAAGATATTGACATGAGAGTCAAAGGAACATCACCCAGTGGACGCTGTGTGCACACACTGCATGCCTTCAAGATGGGAGGCCTCGGGTATGTATGATTCAGAATCAAGCAGTCATCTGGCAATTTCCCACTGCGTGGGAGCTCAGCTGAGATAACCTGTGAGGTCTCATTCAGCACCTGAACATTGTGATGCTATCAGAGTGACCTGGGGCGCTTCTGTTACACAGAAACACAAACACACATGTATCCGATGACGCCACACCCTGTCAGCTGCGCCATCAGCCTCTCAAAGGCAGGCAAGACTCAGCCCAACTGTGTGCAGGCCCGCCCTGGCCTCTGACCTGGAATCCCAGCCCCACCACAATTATCTGGAGAATCTTGGGCAGGTCCCATCAGCTTCAGGCAAGCCTATGTTTGCTCATCAGTGGAATGAAAGGTTTGGCTCATTAGCTGCAAAGCCCTTCCTGCTCTGGCATTCAAAACAAGGTAGGGGGAGGGGAAAGGAGGAACCAAGAAGCTGATGTTCTTGGTTCATCTCTGAAAAAGCCAGGGCGAGAGTTCTGAAGGTGAGATGCGGCTTCCAGTCTGCTCCTACGGTAGGGCAGCTGAGGCTTGGAGACAGAAGGTGGCCAGAGGCCCCACTTCAAGAGGGAAGCTGCCCTGCCAGCACTCAGGTCAGAGATAACTTCCTGGACCGCACCAGGAAATAGTTGCTCAGAAATTCTCTGTGTAAAGGAGCTTCGATTTCATAGTTATACATCACAAGACTATGCTGGGCTGACAGTGGGAGATGTATACAATAGAAGGGGCATAGACATCTCAGGAAAACCTGGACTTTTCACCCCACCACCTTCTAAGTCAAGGCCAGATTCCTTAGATGGTTCTAAGATGCTACACCAGTTGGCTCTGCCTGCAACTACTCATCTCCCATCTACCACGGCCACCTAACCCCACAGTCTGACCATGCCGACACACGGGAGTGCCTTTTCAAGACTCCAGGCCCTTCTCAATGTGTGTCCCCTGCAGAGAGGTCCAGGCACCTGCGTTCCCAACGAGGCTGCCAGATGCTCCAGATCAAAGGCCTGGACCCAGTCATTTCAGGAGTCCCCAGAATGAGGCACCAGATCAAAAACGTTCGTGGGGTTGAATCTGACTGTGTGAACTCTACAAAAAACGAATTGAAACCTGTAAGGTCCCCCGGAGAGATCTGGCTCTCCCCTCTGCAGAGCAGCTAATGTCTTCTCTTGGCTTGGATGGTATACTCATTCATCCCTTCACTCACTCAGAAGAAGAGACTGAGGTTTCAGAAGTAAACAAAACAGGCAGACCAGCTCCTGCCCGGATCTCTTCTTTATACTGAATCGCATCAGGAACTAGGAGGGAAAAAAGCCACAAGATACCACCTCTGTCTTCAGGACATCAAGGCAGTAGGCACACATCCCTGAAAAAGCCCAGGAGATGAAACAAAATATTCTAGAGAAATGAATCCCATGAATGATTTTCCACTTGGTTCACTTACCCTTTCATAAGCATTAATGGAATGAAGGAATATTACAGGACACACAGAAAAGGGAGGAGAAAATCTAAGAAATGCTCTTTCTTATTATAGATACTAATTTTGCTTGAACTTAATAATACATAGCACAAAATTTTCCAGTTAGGAATTCCCAGACTTCATTCCATCCACCTTTATTCACTTCCGGTGTCTTGGAGACGGTTGGACAGGAGACTTTAGAGGGCAGGGATCCTGCCCATCTGGTCCCTCACTGTCTCCTTGGCCTCCCAGAGAAGCCCAAGAAATCGTCCTTGAGGCAGATGAATGAATGAGTGTAGGTGTCGGTGAGTAAACTGACAAGTGGATGACCCTAAGCAAACCGCTCCTGACTAAATGCCATCGAAGGGAGGGTCAGAACCACAAATGCGCAAGTGACAACATTACCACCTCACCCAAGCAAAGTGGAATAGTACAGTGTTAGAGGTCCAGGTTCCGGGGCCCGCTGACCTTCCAGTCCTGCTTCTCTACTTGGCAGCTGTGTGGCCTTGGCCAAGTTACTTACTTCCCAAAGTCCCAGTTTTCTCATCTGTAAAATGAGCATAGTAATAGTCCTACCTCCTAGGGTTACAGGGAAGATGAAATGAGGTCATCCCTGCAAAGAGCTGAGAACTGAAAGGCAAACACTCCATCCCAAAGCCCTATGTGCTGACATCCCCTACTCCCCAACAAAGTCCTGGGAAGTAGATGGGACAAATAGTATAACCCATATTTTATGTCAGAGACCGCCAAGGTACATGGAGACCAAGGGGCACCTTATTGCAGAACTGAGCACAGACCCTGCACGGACCCAGGTTGCTTTTGGCTTCACAGGAAAAGCCCAAGGCAAACTGGGAGCTCTGATCTCACCCCATCAGGGTGCGCTTCCTCGGTCGCTTGGAGGCAGGCGGAAACACCCGGCAATGTCTGTTACCCCCTCATGCTTATGATTTCCGCATCCATGAGCCCAGGCAACCCTTGTCAGGATGAGGAAGCTTTCACATTCAATGCCAACCCACTTCGAATGCCTCCTGGCCCCCCACCACCTCCTCCCCACACCGACACACCCTGATGAACCCTCCTGCCGGGCAGCCCAGATGGGCCAGCGGGGTCTGAATGTCCAAAAGAGAGGCTATGCCTAAAATGGGCAGGGGCATTGTTGGGCAATTTTAACTTTGCATTTTCCTCTCTTCCAAAAGACCTACAATGACCGCATGTAACATTTATAACAATAAAAATATTATTTACAAGAAAAAACAAGACTATCTCAAATAAGCAGGAAAAACGAGGACTGACAGTGATGGGAAAGTCAGCTTACCCTCCAATTGCCAGCTTCTGTGTGTATGTATGACTTGAAGGAGAAAGTTTTTTTTTTTTTTTTTTTAGCCAGCAATGAAAAGAGGTGAAATTGATAAGCAAGCCTGGTTTGAGGGCTACTAGGAAGTCACTGTGTATACGCCTGAAATCTCTCCCAGTGGTAGAAATCCCCCATTTGCATTTCATTCCTGCGAGTCGAGAATCATTTGGTTAAAACTAGTATGTTGCTGGAGAGATGGCTCACCTGTTATTGTGAATGAGTGTCTCAGTTCCTTTCCAGGCTCAAGGCCATGCTTGGCACAAAGACACCTGAGGTGTCTTAGCCCAGTGAAGAGGAATGTTCTACCAAATGGGCCAGGAATTGCCCTTCCGATTTCCCCCAGGCCCGGCCCTGCCCGAAGTCAGCCTTGTTTCCTTACCTTTGAAACAGGCCACTGAACTGGAGGATGTGGGCGGAAGCCAGCACCCCCAGTACATCTTCCAAGTTAATCTCCACCTCACTCGTGTAGAGGTTCTTCAGGGCCGTGGCGAAGGCTGGGGAGACACAGCCAAGACAGCCGTCAGTGTGGGGCTCTGCACACAGGACACCACCCAGGGCCCTCCCTCACTACTGCAGCTGGGCAGGCAGAGGTGCCCTTAGAGAAAATGCACCATCTCTGACCTGGATGCAGGCACCACCCGGAAGCTGACGGTCTATGCTGCCAGCCTTCCCAAAGGAGTTGAGACTGAAGCTAAAGAAAGCAGAGCTTCTGCTGAAAGGATCCTCCTTTAAGCCTGTTCTCAGGGGTGAGACCATCTTGGGTTCTCTCCTAACCTGGGGTCTGTGGCCTGTGCAGGAATGTGACTGCTCAAATATGTGCAGAATGTTGTGTGCAAGTCATGCATTTTTTTTTTTTCTGGAGACAATATATATCTTACAGCAGATTCTCCTTGGAGTCTGGGGATTTCCACAAAGGTTAATGACTCTCGGAAAGAGCTAGAATAATTGGATGGTTCAGGAACTGAACTGCATGGCTAGGGGCCAGACGGACTTGGCTGATTCACCATCAGAGTGTCCTCTGGTGACAAATGGCCCAACTAGTGCTGAAGTTTCCTCACCAAGCGATTCCTAAACAAGTGCCATCACATGGCCTCCCAAAGTGCTGGGATTACAAATGTGAACCACCGCACCCAGCCCATAGATGCATTCTTAAATATCTGTTTATTTTGAAATAGTTTAAGACTCATAAGAAGTTGCAAAAACAAGAGAGACAGGGGCAACAAAGAAGTCTACTCCTGAGTGGCTGTGAGGGGATGGGAAGTGGGCCCAAGTTGGGGGAGGCAGGGGGTGGTCCTTGGCAGGAAGAGGCAGGTGAAGTGCTATTTGGGAGCAAAGCTGGGCCTGATGGTTTCCCTGGGTGGGTGTGAGCCTAGAGCGGCAACTCCTCTTGCGCTGGGTCTGTCTCTGAGAAGCCGCTATCTTTTCCCGGTCTCTGCATCCTTCACACCCTTTCTCGATGACAAGAACCTCTCTTTAGTAGTATTCCACCTTCTTCCATTTCCCCAGGTCACCCTAGCCTTCTCGCCCCTTCTTTCTTTGCACATTCGGGCCTTTTGAATAAGAAAGCACTGAACACTGTCTACTGTTGGTTTGTTTTGCTTCGCTGTTGCTTGTTCATTTTTAAATCCGGGAGGACCGTTTGTTCAATGGCATTCTCAGAAAATAGACGGGTATATACATACCAACTTTAGTGACCAGTGGGTCATTGATCTTCAAGGAAATGATCATCCTCTTTGCAGAGGATTTTTCTTTGGTCTTCTTAGGTGATTGAGCTAGTAAAGGAAATGAGATGATGATGGATGGAGGTGATAACCATGGTGAAGACACAGTGGGAGGCACCCACCACCCTGGCATGACTGTGAGGTATCAAGACATGTATCACACTATATTTTCTTTGTTTCATAGATGTAATCTATTTATTTATTTATTTATTTATTTATTTATTTAATTTTTATGTGTGAGATGGAGTTTCACTCTTGTCACCCAGGCTAGAGTACAGTGACACTGTCTCAGCTCACTGCAACCTCCACCTTCTGGGTTCAAGCTATTCTCCTGCCTCAGCCTCCCAAGTAGTTGGGATTATAGGCATGCACCACCATGCCTGACTGGTTTTACATTTTTAGTGAAAATGGAGTTTTACCATGTTGGCCAGGCTGCTCTCAAACTGCTGACCTCAGGTGATCTGCCCGCCTTGGCCTCCCAAAGTGCTGGGATTACAAATGTGAACCACCGCACCCAGCCCATAGATGCATTTTTAAATACCTGTTTATTTTGAAATAGTTTAAGAATCATAAGAAGTTGCAAAAATAGTGCAAAGATCCCTCATATCCCTCGCCTAACTTCCCCCAACGATCCTGCATAGCCCTGTGCATTGTCAAAACTGAAAAACTGATGCTCACACTGCATTTTACATATTTATGACCTCCCCTATCCTTTCTCTTATTAGGCTGTGAGCAGTTTGAGGGCAGAGTGAACCGCAGTCATTTATGCACCCGGAGCACCTGGGGCAGTGCAGGCAAGCAGTGGGAGTGCCACCGGCTGAAGGGTGAACGTGGGACTGAGGTGTCCATATGGTGGCTACTGTCACTCTGCCCCAGACAGCTCCACTCTGGGGACCCCTGCCACCGAGGATTTCCAGGAGGAAGGGAAAAGGTAGCCCAATTCATTGCTAGCCAATGCCATCCACTCGGTCATCCTAGAATGTGAGTTACAGAGTGGCACTGCCCTCAGGTCTCCAGAGGTGCCCCACAACCTTGGCACAAAAGCCAAGGCCCTACCAGCAGCCCCAATTCCTACATGGCCTACAACCCCTGCCCACCGCTCTGCCCATCACGCCCCCGCCTGCCACCCCCACCCCCCGGCCCGCCCACCAGCATGCTCCACGGGATGGTGTGGGACTCCCGCCCTCCCTCCCTCATCAGGGGTCTTCTCACTTGTCCTTCCCTCTGAGAGGCCTTTCCTGACCCCAGATGTAAGGTAGCACCCCACTCCCCCGCTAACTGGCTTTATTCTTCTTCAGAGACTAACTTGACCATGACCTTCCATTTACTACTCTGTGCCCCTGTTGTGCTTTTCTCCCTGGCAGCTCAGCTGAGGTGGTTCACTCGCCGCTCCATCCCCTGGGCTCACCCCAGGCTCGCACACACTGGTGCTAGTAAATATTGGCTGGATGAATGCAGCACGTGGATTCCATCACCAGGGAGCTCAAGGTTCCAGATAATGAAAAATGATGTGAGCCAGAGCCAAAAAGTCCATCATCCTGTGCAACTACAAAGAAAAAGAGAGCGAAGGATCCTTTGCCCTCCGTTTGCCCGCGCTGTCGTCCGTCACCTGGCTCTGTGCTGGCTCTCACTCAGCAAATACTCACTGAGAACTTCCTAAGCGCCAGGCTTGTTCCACTCTGGGTCACATTCTTCTCCGGCATGACTACACGGCCTCCCATCTGCTCATGCCAGCCTGCCATCCATCCCATGGCAGGGAGTAAATGGGAGGATGCACATGAATGCCTGGCACACAGTAGGCATGCAAGAGGTGGCAGTTAATATTATAATGTGTCACGGTATTTGTCATGCTTTCCCATCATTTTGGGTTTGTCTGTCCCCTCAGATGGTAAGCTCTTAGCACAATGCCTGGCATAAGCTAAGCATTCCACATAGGAAGGAAGGAAGAGAAGGAGGAAGAGAGGCAGGGAGGGAGGGAATCAGTTCTATCAGAGTAAGTGAAAGGCAGAAGTTCAATATTCCCTCCAGGTTGAGTAAAACCCCCAAATCGGATAAGATATCAATAATTTGTTCACACTCTTCTCCAAGGTTCTCCAAAGCCAAGGTGGTTAGTTTGTTTTCGGTAAGTGGGCCACTTCCTTCTCGGATTCCCCGCTAGAGAATAAACACGTCCTCTCCAGACAGCTGCTCCTCCACTCTCCATGGAAGGAAATCGAGCAGCTGGAGAGCCTGTGCATCTCTGCAGAGTCCAGCACTCCAGGGTCTGGCCAGAAGTTCCAGGATAGCAACACAGATGATCTCGAGAACATGCAAGTGATAACTGTGAGACAGGTATGCAAACCACCATTGTGAGATATGTTCGCTTTCAAAGGCACATGAAGGACCGTGACTGTTCCTATTGAAAGACATGAATCCCAGGGCTTGATCGGTCCATGGAGCTTGTGAGGAGACGCTGGAGTCGTGACAGTCCAGGGCACTGGGGTTTCATCTCTGCACCTTCCCTCTTGTCTCCCAGCCAGGCGCAGCCTCTAGCAGGAAGGTTTGGATCAGAGTGGCTGTCTCAGCAGGGCCAAATATTTTCATTTTAGTGACCCATTCTAGACACGTTAAAGACCATAATGTTAATGACTCCATTTCCGCTTCCAAATTCTCCTGCTTTTCCATGAACTCACTGTCTGGCTCACCAGAGCCTTTCACAGATGGTCTAGTGAGTGTTTTGACTTGGGTACAGGGGAGATGGAAGAGCCCAGTCTGGCTGTTGAAGACACTGGGACAAAGGTTTCAGAAGAGTACAGAGGCTCATGAGCCAACACCGAGGTTGCTGCAGTTCTGCAGAGCCCAGCTGGCTCTCACTGCCTGCACCGCGGGGAAGGACTGAGTCAGATTCCCGCAGGCAGCGGGGCTCTCCCTCCAGGCTCAGGCTCAGGGAGGGGGAATGACTGGGGGCTCCAGCTGCCTGTCTGACTCTAGAATAACAGGGCTTTGCTGTCATGTCTTGGAAATGAAAGCCCATCATGACTGGTAAGCTGGCTGGCTTTGGGGGCCTCGAATTTTCCATGGCACCTGCTTATGAGTCAGCCCGAGGGGATGCCAACCTGTAGCCCAAAGCAGCAGCTGGCAGTGCAGATGGAGACAACTTAGAGACCAGGTGAGAGGAGGCTGGGGTGGTCAGGCCTCCCTGCTGGGAGACAAAGAAAGAAGTGGCCTACATTCTTTTTGGAATGAGGTAGAAGAGAGATGAAAAGAGAAGAGGAAAGAAAAGCAAAGACAACAACAAAATACATGCACACATGTGGGCCTTGAATAGCACACTTAGGGCCAAATAAGTCACAGATATCAGAACTCCACCTTCCTTCCAAAAAGTTCTTCAGAAAATTCCCCACAGCCCATTTTTCCTTTTCAAAGAAGTAGGTAGAGTCTGTATGTCTGGGCTGGCCAGACAAGACTCGGGTTATTTCAAGGATAATAGCTGGCATGTACTGAGTGCTTGCTGTGCGCCAGGCCTTGTTCTAGAACCTCACACCTAGTACCTCCTCTACTCTTCAAAGCCGCATCCTAAGAACTATTATCCCCATTTTACAGTTGAGGAAACTGAGGCTGTCACGGGATGAGATAACACCGTGGAGCCTTGCTCTTGACTGCTAGAGTGACCGTGGTCTCAAAACAGATAACCATGTTCCAAGCTGGGACCCTCAAGCTAGAGGGCACTGGGGCTCCAGCACTGGGCGCCAGAGAGGAAGTACCTCGCAGAAGCTCCTCCAGCTCCCTCAGGGGGTATGTGGTGCCTTGCGTCAGGGCTTTCAGGTAGAGCTTGGCCAAGGTCTCAGACTGAAAAAGCTGGGGCTGATGGAGTTCCCATTTGAAGCCCAGGCACTCGAGAATCACATCTGAGGAGAGAAAATGATGCTGAGCAAACACATCAATAACGTCCCCACCCAAAGATGCATCAGCTTCCTCTCCCCCAACTCCTTTGCTCAGTGGATCATTAAGCAGATGAAGCAGGCAAGCAGCTCCCCCAGGCATCTCAGAAAGGAAGTGGTGAAGTGTGGGCCTCGGGGACTTAGTGGCTTTGAGGGGGACACTGAAGAAGTCTTACGAGGTCACCCAGGACATGCCACATGTCCAGGACAGCTGTCGGCTAACAGCTGTAGGACTTCAGAGGCACTCGCGCTGCCCTCCAATGTGGGGAATCAGGAAAAACTTTGTGGAACAGGGACATTATCTGGGGCACTCTTGGGGGGCCAAGGCAACACGAACGTTCTGGCTTCCCCTACGACAGTGTTTCTCAGCCCTGACATTGTAAACATTTTGGGCCAGATACATGTGTTTTGGGGAGCTGTCCCGTGCACTGTAGATGCCCAGTAGCAGCCCTGGCATCTACTTACTACATGCCAGTAGCACTCCCTCCTAAGTGGTGACAACCAAAAATGTTTCCAGACATTTCCAAGTGTCCCCAGTGAAGCCAAATCACCCCCCAGTTCCCTGTTGAGAACTACTGCACTATGAGTACCAAAGCATGACCCATCTGAAATGTAATAGCAGGCCTACCAAAGAGGGTAGGATTCTCGTGACCCTCCCTTGACAGTAAAAGAAGGCTCTTTCCAAACTGTAGAAGACTTTATTCAGGGGCATCTAACCTGAGGATAAAATCAGTGATCACTAAAAGAAGAGGCTTTTTGATAGAGGAGGGCAGAGGGCGAAACCGAGAATGCCAGGCCAGGTGCGGCTCGAGAGGCCATGGGGAGAGGACTCTGCATGGCTCAGCTCCTGTGTTGTTAGTACAGAGCTGGGGGAAGGAGAGGTGCCTAAAACCCTCAATCTGAGTGCCAGACAGGACCTGAAGGGCCACTAGCCCCATCTACATATTTCTTGGTTTTGCCATTAGTTTCACAGTGTGACCTTGGGTACCTGATTCTTCTTCCTGTTATTATTATTGTTATTCACCAATATTATGATATTGTTTGGTGCTGGGGTTCAGGGGGTTTGCATCTCAAATATTACATCGCCTTAGGTGGACTGGTTATGTTGAGTTAGAAAAAGTCTCAGCCCATTAGGGTGATTATAGGCAGGGGCAGAATTGTGGATACAACATATTCACTCACTGGATGTCAATTTCCACTTTCAGGATGGCCAATGCATGGCAGCCATCACTAATCAATCCAGAGCTCTTTCTCTCATGCCAGGAGATGGTCTCAGACTACTTCTCCTGTTCAGAGTTGAAGGTGAGAAAAGAATTTGTTAGCCTCTCTTTGGAAAGGAGGCTGGCTCTGATCTCAGGCAGCCACACCACGCAGTAGGCTTTATCCAAAAAAAAAAAAAAAAAAAAAAGCAGAACCTATCCTGATTCTTGATCCTGCCTCAGAAAAGTCCTCTTGAACAAGTGCAGCTGTGAACGTCCAAGTCACAACTGGTTAGAGCCCAAAGAGATGAAGAACAGCTGCTTTATGCTTGCTGCATTCCGTTTAGTCTTTCAATACAAAGACTACTTTTTTTTTTCTTTTTTTTTTTGAGATGGAGTCTTGCTCTGTCACCCAGGCTAGAGCTTACTGCAACCTCCAACCTCCTCTTTCTGGGGTAAGTGATTCTCCTGCCTCAGCGTCCTGAGTAGCTGGGATTACATGTGCGTGCCACCACGCCTAGCTAATTTTTGTATTTTTAGTAGAGATGGGGTTTTACCATGTTAGCCAGGCTGGTCTCAAACTCCTGACCTCAAGTGATTCACTCGCCTGGGCCTCCCTGCTGGGATTACAGGTGTGAGCTATTTATTGACACCAACATGTTTGTCTTTATCACGGCGAGGAGCATATGAAAATGTGTTTACCAAGCTTGGTTTCACTCACTGCACATTTGACAAATATTTACAGGGCACCTATTATTTCTCAGACACTAGGAAGTGGATAAGAATCGCAACGTATGGACTAGTGCCCTGGCTTATGGGCTTGTTTTCTTCCGTAAAGACCACAAGATGCCCCTGAAGTCAGCAGCATTCTGACTGAATCCACGGAGAACACAAACTCACCTGCTTCCGCACTTTGGATGTCCTTGTTCTTGAAATTCTCACAGAAAAACTTCTGAATTTGTGAAATGTATAACCTCAAGGGGAAATGCAAACATAAAATCCAGGAGTTAATACTGACATTTTTCTCCAACTACAACATGCATTATTCTAGCATAAACTTCCTTAAAGCACCCATTGATCAAGCTACTCATATCTCGCCCTGTGGAAGAGTTTCCTCAGGTCACCATTTGTCTGCTGATCTGAAAAACTGTAGCCTTTCTGATAGCTGGCTTATAATGCTGATTCCTGTTTTCAGTTTGTGGGTAGGGCTTACTGAGGGGGTATTTGAGGTCGTACTTGGCTGCCTGAATGACACTTTATTCAGTGTCTAAAACATTATCTGGCATATAGTAGACACTCAGTAATATCTGCTAGGAGAAAAGAATAGAGGTTTCTGCTCATTTCTAGGATGTTAATTCACCAACGATTTTGTTTAGAGGTCACACAGGTCCCACTCTCAGTGTGTCCAAAAACTAAACTTAGCATCTACCTCAAATCCTACCCTGCTCACTCAGATTCTCATTTCAGGAAATGGCACCACCAGCCTGCAGTTGCCCAAGCCAGCATGCCGGGTGTTGTTACATCTCATCACTTGCCTAGATATTTTGAATTTGTCCATCTCTCTTTGCTGTTCTTGCTATCGCCTTCCTCCAAGCCCCTACGATCTCCCTTCAGTCACTGCCACAGTCTCCCAGCCTCCAACCCTGCTCTGCTCGGATGCCTGCCTCCCACAAAATGCAAATTTGGTCTTGTCTCTCTCCTGCTGAGAATCCTCCAGTGTTTCCCCATTGCTCTTGGGGGAAAGTCCAAACTCCTTAGCATGGCTAACCAGCTCCTGCATGTTTCTGCAGCCTGGTCCCTCAACAGTCCCCACTCCAGCCCTTCTCAGCAGCCTGCACCTGGACCTGCCAACTGCTGCTTTCGTCTCTTGCATGCACTACTCCCTCTCCCAAATGCTCTCCTCCTTGCCTTTCCCCTTGCTAAGCTCCTACTCATTCTTCAGAATGAGCTTCATTGCTGCTTTCTCTGGGGATGCTGGGCCAGTGGCTTTCCCCCTGTCCGTCCTGGGATTTCCCCCTTAAAACTCCTTCTGGAGTGTCTTGTGGCTGCCTGTTTACTTGTGTATCCTCTGCGAGACAGATTGGGCATGTGTTTACTGCTATGGCCCTGGCACAAGCCATCACGCAGGTGCTCAGCAAATATTCATTAAATGAATCCATGACCACATAGATAAACACCATGGACTCATCATGCTAAGCCAGGAAGTGAAACAAAATTTGAGTCACATATTCACAGCTTAAAGACAGTCATCCCAGAAAGCCAGCCAGCCAAGAGACATTTGTGACCACAGCTGGTCTGTGTCATGCAGTGTCAACTTTACCATGCTGTCTCCAACAATCCCAGGAGACCCCGTGGGCCAGGGTGCATGCAGGAAGCCTGGGTGGGAGCCCGTGTCCAGAATATTACCAACTACGTGCTGCCCTGTCCAAGGGGGGAGGGTGGCTGCCAATGACTCAGCCTAAAGGCAGGCAGTGGGAGCTGGACTTGCTTATTCAACAGGAGCAGTGGAGATCTGACCCAAGCCACCCTCGCTTCCTCCCTCGATCCTCCTCATGGCTTGGGTGACACGTCTGGAAAGAGCTGGCCAGAGTCAAGAGTTCAGACCGTGATCTCAAAATGGAGCCATGAACTTTGGAAAATATGGCGCAAGGTCCATGAACTCAACTACCCTCACAAACATCAGTGTCGTCAGCTGAGCCAAGGGATGCCAGGAAACAGAGGTGAAGACACTGCCTTCTCCTGGGTGTGAGGGCTGCTTGTCAAGATATACCAACCATCACGTAGGCTCTGCCATTCCCAAGGGCTGCAGTGCATTTTAGGATCACTGGAAAAGTGAACGGAACACATGGCATCTGTGAGTTGTTTCACTGTTTGGGACTAAGTGGTCCAAGGTGAACTCCCATTGCAACGCCTGGTGCGGGGATGCTGGGAACGTGCTGTTAGGCTGGAGCTCATGTCCCCAAGTCATGACCATGATGGAGAAAGGCAGAAGGGGAAGAAGGGGAAGTAAGTTTCTCATGGACATACGGACTTCCTGGAGCAAACTATCCAAAGGTCAAAATGCCAATTTGATGAATTACAAAGAGTGACATAGACCTGGGGCTGGACCCCAGTTCTTCCATTTTCTGCCTCTTGGTCTCAGAGGAAGGGAAGAGTGAAAGAGTGAATGTTTGGAATGCCTGGCACGGACTTGCCTTCGGTTAACATTCTCTCTTTCATTGTCTCTGTGAAAGGTGTCAAAATAACAATGGAGTTATGATGCCTTAAAAACCTTGACAGAGCCTGGCATGGTATCATGCTCCTGTAGTCCCAGGTACACGCAAGGCTGAGGCAGGAGGATCACTTCGGCCCAGGAGTTCGAGGCTGTAGTGAGCTGTGATCGTGCCTGTGAATAGCCATTGCGTTCTAGCCTGGGCAACTGGGCAAGACCGCGTCTCTAAATCTCTTTTAAAAAACAAAACGGCCGGGCACAGTGGCTCACATCTGTAATCGCAGCACTTTGGGAGGCTGAGGCGGGCGGATCACGAGGTCAGGAGATCGAGACCACCCTGACTAACACGGTCAAACCCCGTCTCTACTAAAAGAATGCAAAAAATTAGCCGGATGTGGCAGCGGGCGCCTGTAGTCCCAGCTACTTGGGAGGCTGAGGCAGGAGAATGGTATGAACCCGGGAGGCGGAGTTTGCAGTGAGCTGAGATGGCGCCACTGCACTCCAACCTGGGCGACTGAGCGAGACTCCGTCTCAAAAAAAAAAAAAAAAAAAAAAATCCACCCAACAAATAGAGGTGGGGAAGTCCAGGAAGGGAGAATTCTCACACACGAATGCCTGATAATAAGAACTATCACAAAAGACTCTGCAAAACCTCCAACTGCACACAAAGGCCATCGTAACCTCACACACAAAAAAGTACTGCCAGGACATCTGCCTAGCAGCTCAAACTGGTGTCACCCTTGTTATGGATCCTGGTAGCCAGGGATAATTATCTCAGAGCAATGATGTAATCCTCCTCACTTTTCCTTTAAAAACCTTTGTTTTGCCAGGCATGGTGGCTCATGCCTGTAATCCCAACACTTTGGAAGGCTGAGGCAGGAGCATCGCTGGAGCCCGGGAGTTCGAGACCAGCCTGGGCAACATAGAGAGACCCCCATCTGTACAAAATATTAAATAAAAAATTTAGCATGTGGTGGCCATGTCTGTGGTCCCAGCTACTTGGGAGGCTGAAGCAGGAGGATCAATTGAGTCTGGGAGGTTGAGGCTGCAGTGAGCTGTGATTGCACTACTACACTCCAGCCTGGGCAACAAAGCAAGACCATGTCTCAAAACAAAACAAACAAACCTTTGTTTTCCTTTACTTCCCTGAAAACGCACGTAGTTTACGGTGGCACTGGTATTCCATTGCAATGCCTGTTCCGGAATAAACATCAACTACTTTTAGAGAGTCTTCCTCTCCTCTCTGTTTGTTATTTAGGTTAATACCTCTATAACGTGGGTCACTGGTCTCTAGTCCCACTATCCCAGAACTGCTCTCTGGTTAAAAATAAAATAAAATAAAAATATAGGGGTCCCTTCTTCCCATCCTCACCTCTTAAGCATGACCTCCTCCCACCCTTGAATGGACTTGGCATTGCGGGCAGAAAGGGAGAAAACCACCAGGCAGCTTCCCCAGCTGGGGACGGGGAGGGCTCCGGGCCTTTCCTAGAGCCACAGTCCCCTAAGCCTTCGTGGGGTGGGGGTGCCCTCCCCAGTCTGGCCTGAGTCACACCTCCCGCGCTGGATCTCTGGGTTTCCATGACAGCACGCATCCATACAAGCCAGTGGACCCCAGGGACACACTTGACACATATGCATTGAGTGTATATGTGCCATACACTTTTCTAAGCTCCTTACATGAATTATATCATGTAATTCTCACAGCAACCCTGTAAGACAGCATCCCCGATTTGCACATAAACTAAGGCACGAAAAGATTAGGGTGCTTGCAAGGAAGTTAACATTTCCTCCTCTCAGCCTCCTCTCCCACACTCAGTGCCGCAGAGCCTGCAAAATGTCCAAGGCAAGAAGACCAGCAGCCTGAAGATCAGCTCCTCTGAGTGGCTGACCAGGAACTCCCTGCATCATGAAAACCCACAGACACGGCTGAAGGAAGTGCTGGCCAGATGGGCACAATTACATACCCAAAATAGACAGGAAACTGGGAGCCTGCTCCCTCAGCTTTCCACCATGAATGACCCTTTCCATAACTCAAGAAATACAGATTGGTCCAGCTCCTGTCCAAGCAGACAGCACCCCCAGGTGGGAAAAGCAGCAATGACACCATCCATGACATGAACACAGCTTGCCAGGTGGGGCAGAAACAGTCATGCAGTGCTTTGGGGGACAAAATGTATGTTTCATGGAGCATTCCAGGCCCTTACTGACAGTGGAGTTTGCCATCTGAGAGTTGCCTGATCCCTGAAGGTTCACAAGAGTTACCAGGAAAAAGCCTTTCATGTTATTATCTAAATTAAACACAACCTTTTTTCTTTCTAAGAAGTTTCTCATAATCACATAGAAGAAATTCCTATTGTGAAGACAAATAAAGGGGTGTGTGTGTGTGTGTGTGTGTGTGTGTGTGTCTTTCTCTTTTTTTTTTATTTTTTTATTTTTAGAGACAAATCTCGCTGTCTCTCCCAGGCTGGAGTGAAACGGCACAATCATAGCTCACTTCATACAGCCTCTATCTCCTTGGCTCAAGTGATCCGCCCACCTCAATCTCCCAGGTAGCTGGGACTACAGGTCCACGCCACCATCCCTGGCTAATTTTAAAATTTTTTGTAAAGACGGGGTCTCACCATGTTGCCCCAGGCTGGTCTCAAATTCCTGGCCTCAAGCTATCCTCCCACCTTGGCCTCCCAAAGCACTAGGATGACAAGTATGAGCCACCATGCCCAGACACGTTTGGTTTATTACAGCACATCAGTTTCTCCCACACTCAGTAGACTGCACCAGTGACTTCAATTCTTCATCCCTCCCTCTGTCCAAACCTTTTACCTCCATATTGCAAAATTTCTCTCCATAAGGAAATGGAGTGTGATTTCTGTCCCTTGACTGGGAGTTTGGCCACGTGACTTGCCTCAGTTCACGGGGCCTAGTGGATGTGAAATGGTGGAAGGTTTGAAAGTCACATGTGCTCCTGGGCTTACCCTCGTGCCCTCTGCTGTCACCATGATAAGTCTGTGCCAAGGCTAGCCCACTGTCTCAGGAGGAGGACAAGAGGCTCACGGAACAGAGCCCAAGTGCCCTGGCAGAACCGATCCTGGATCAGCTAAGCACAGATGCATGGCTGTAGACTTGCCCAGAACCCCTGAGAGTATCTGTCGCCTCTGGACATGCAGCTTCCCAACATCACAAAGCAAAGGGCCAGATGTGTAAAAGCTTCTCCCTGGAAGACCGGCTCCTCTGCCCCTGTTGTGCTAGAGGAAGGTGTTGTCCTGGTGGAAGGAACTGGGGAAGGTGCAAGGAGGCAGAGTGAAATAAAGGAGGTGTTGACTGGCAGAGCACAGAGCTAAGACACCCCAAGATGAAATAACCGGGATTAATTACTAAAATGCTGCTCAGGCAATAAAGAAAATAATTCTGTTTACTAAGCATCTACTATTTGCCGGAAAAAGTGCTAGGCATTTTCAATAGATGGCTTCATTCAATCCTCAAGATGACTCTTCATCTTAAAGAACGTGCTATATAACCATTTTAGAGATGAGGAAACTGAGGCCCAAAGAGGGTTAGCCACTGACTAAAGGTCACAGAACTAGTAAGTGAAGAAGTGGGGATTCCAACGCTGTTGATAGACTGCTGTTAACAGTCCAAATGCCCAGCACCAAATGCCATTTCTGCACCCCACCCCTCAGGCCACTGCCTCCAGTTTAGCTCAGTAACTCCTAGGGACTTAGTTCCTGCTGCCCAGACCCTCTCATCAGCTTTTGGGATCACTTTGTCTGTATTCCTAGGCCTAGCTCCAGCACCTGCATCCCTGGCCTAGCCCTGGCACTAAGGAACTCCGCAACAGAACAGGGTTGGCCAGTGGCTCTAGAGAGGGAAGATTTGGCTACTCGCTGAACAAAGATTGAGCAGGCAGTTCTTCTGTGCCAGGTGCTGCCCTAGGAGTACAGTCCATGCTCACTTCAATTTGGCTGTGAGCTCACAAGACAGATGCTGCCAGCCTAGGGATGGTAGTAGCATCAAGCCAGGTCCACGGCACCAGGGCAACGAGGTGTGCCTTCTGCAATAGGGGTGGTACAAATTGCATATTTGTTTCCTCCAAACCTCGTGTAGAAATTTGATCCCCAGCCGGGCGTGGTGGCTCAAGCCTGTAATCCCAGCACTTTGGGAGGCCGAGACGGGCGGATCACGAGGTCAGGAGATCGAGATCATCCTGGCTAACACGGTGAAATCCCGTCTCTACTAAAAAGCACAAAAAACTAGCCGGGCAAGGTGGCGGGTGCCTGTAGTCCCAGCTACTCGGGAGGCTGAGGCAGGAGAATGGCGTAAACCCAGGAGGCGGGGCTTGCAGTGAGCTGAGATCACATCACTGCACTCCAGCCTGGGCGACAGAGCGAGACTCCGTCTCAGAAAAAAAAAAAAAAAAAAATTAACCCCCAATGTTGGAGGTGGGGCCTAATGAGAGGTATTTTTGTCATAAGGGCAGATCCCTCATGAATAGATTAATACCATCCCTCAGGGGTGAGAGTTCTCACTCTCTTAGTTCCCACAAGAGCTGGTTATTAACAAAAGCCTGGGACCTCCCCTCTCTCCTCTCTCCTGCTTCCTCACTTGCCATGTGATCTCTGCACCCTCGGCTCCTCTTCGCCTTCTGCCATGAGTACAAGCAGCCTGTGGCCCTCACCAGAAGCTGAGCAGATGCTGGCGCCATGCTTCTTATACAGCCTGCAGAACCTTGAGCCAAATAAACCTCTTTTCTTTATAAATTTCTGATCCTCAGGTATTTCTTTACAGTAACAGAAACAGACTAAGGCAAGGGTCCAGCTCTGTTTCCAGGAGAGGCAAGAGAGAACTCATCACATGGGGAAGTGAAGGTCTAGCCTGCTGCTCGGAATACTATGAGATTGAGAGAGGATCAGTTGATTGGGTGAAAATGGACATTCACAAGCTGTCTAAACACTGAACCAGGACTAAGTTTTGTTTGTCAAAAAACCAGTTGGTTCCTGGGTGATAAACTCAGAATCCTGTTTGGGTTCAAAGTTCCCAATGTGAAGAAAAATTGTAAAAAAAAAAAAAAAAAAAAAAAAAATTCATTCTTTCTCTGCCCTTTTGTCACCACCCACATTCTCAGAGGTAGTAGTCACTTATGACCCTGTCGGTGCCGAAAGCTGGCTCCAGAGGGAGCCTTCCTGGCAGATGTGCCCTTGACAGCCACTCCAGCCACTCAGAGTGGCCCAGTCATCAGCCACTCCAGCCAATCAGAGTGGGCCGGTCATCAGGCACCTCCCCTCCCAGGAATGATAGGCCATTCCTTCCCACAAATCTTTAAGTCTCCCTACCTGTCTGGGTTCCTCAGAGCTTCCTCAAAGTCTATGTTCAGAGCCTTGAACATCTGGGAAAGTGAGAGCAGGTCCCCAGTAAAAGGCTGTTTGGGGAAACGCCACCTGTTGGTTGAGCCAGCGATCCGGCGTTCCAGCCGAGCTTTGTGCTGCTTGGTAATCAAAGAAAGAGAAGACATCTTTTTTTCTAACTTCACATAAATGCCAGATTTTCCAAATTGTACAGCAGGAAGGAAATCAAGACAAATTTTACAGTGCTGGTTAATTTTTGAACATGGCTAATATTTCTCACGAGACATCTCAAGGTAAAGACACTGTATTCCATAGATCAAAGATCTCAAGCTACAAAGTAATTTGAAATTTAGGATCTAAGACAAGAGGTGCCAGAGGGCAAGAGGTCAGGGAGAAACACTGTTTTTTGCAGGTAGCTCTCTGAAGAATCCACAAGCAGGGATAGTATTATGCTTTGAGTACTGTCCTTTGAGTACTTATCCTAACTTATCATACAGAGAGATATTAAACTGTGGAGATATTGGGCAAGGAAATTTTTTTAATGGTGGTAAAATATACAAAACATAAAATTTTATCTATTTTACAGTGTACAATTTGGTGGCATTTAGTACATTTACAATGTTATGCAATCATTACCACTACCTAATTCCAGAACATTTTCATAACCCCCAAAAGAAATTCCATACCTATTAAACTGTCACTCCCTGTCCCCACATCCCCAGCCCCTGACAACCACTAATCTGCTTTCTAAGATTAGCCCCTATGTTCTGATTTTATGTTTTATGTTATGTTTTATGTTTTATACTTTATGTTAAACCTGTTCTGGGTATTGCATAGAAGTGGAATCACACAATATGTGGCCTTTTGTGGATGGCATCTTTCACATAACATAATGTTTTCAAGGTTCATCCATGTATTGATACTTCATTCCTCTTTAAGGCTGAATAATATTCCATTGTGTGAATATTCCACATATTGCTTATTCCTTCATCAGTTGATGAACACTTGGGTTGTTTATACCTTTTGGCTATTGTGAAGTGTGCTGTGAGTATTCATGGACAAGTTTTTGTTTGAACACCTGTCTTTTTATTATTTTGGTTATATACCCAGGAGCAGAACTGCTGAGTCTTTGGGCAGGGGCTTTTACTTAGACATTTTCTTGAGGTTCCAGGAGAAATTCAGCAATTTACATAAAACAGAAGGACAATACCCAGCATGGATGTAAACCTTAGACTGAAGGCCCAAAGCAACCTAGCAAGGAAAAAAGCACCAGGAAGGACCCACAGGAATGGATGTCATTGATCCCAAGCCAACCAGGGCACCAATGGAGATGTGGCGAGACCATGGGCCATGGACTAGAGCATCTGAGTTCAAATCTTGTTATTGCTACTTTCTAGTTGTGTGACCTTGAGAATATGTAACATTCTGAGGCTGTCAGGTCTCATGTGTAAAATGGGAATAACGGGTGGTGGTGGTGACAGTAATGGTCATCATGACAATGATGGTGAGGATGGCGGTGGTGGGGATTGTGGGGATATCATCTTGTTTCCAATGTTGTAAAAAGTATAAAGTAGAATAAAGTTTGGGAAATATGCCTTAGTATAGTGCCTCGAAGGTGGTGGATGATTAAAAACTGTGGAATCTGAGTCTAGATATAGTGCTGCTGTCACATGAGAAGTAAAACATCGCCAGCGCAGACCACAAGCCTGCTCTCTGGACGGCCCGCTGCCTGGACGCACTCTTTCCAGCCAAGTCAGCCAATAATGCTTGTCCTCAGTGGTGCAGGACCCAGCTCCTTGTGGAAATTTGTCAAAATGACCATAACCAAGTGCTTCTTCTCATCACCTACCTTCTTGAGAAACTGATCTACTTACCGTGTTCGACATTATTGTGAATGAAAGTGGAGATTACACAGGAGAGAAAAGATAAGCAACCTAGAAGACAAAAGAGGTAAAGGTGAAATTTTCCATACTTTTCAAAATATTATGGAGGAGATTGGCCTAAAGAATCTATATTTTGCCACAGGAACGATAATGAATAAGCCTTGAATGTGGGTTTTTTATCAATCAAGAGAATATCTTGTTTTTGCCGTTTTTTGTTTGTTAGTTTTTTTGTAAGCAGATGAGTAGACAGATAGATCTCTGCTGTTGTTCTGGGAAAGTGGCTCAGATCAAGCAAAACAGAAGATAATCCTCTGCCAAAGTGAGGAAGACCGAAAGATAGCTATAAGTAGGCTGATCACATAATTGATCATTCAGACCAGGGGACTAAAGGGATGATATTAATGATTAGGCCTAGACAATGGCTGTAGGCCAGGGCTGCCCTGGCGTCCTGTAGACTGATGGTCACCCTGGCTTACAGGTCATGAAAGAGGATGAGTGGAAGGACTTTCCAGCTATCTCTAAACATTATCAGGGCAGTTGGGTTACAAGCAACAGAAACCCATTTGATTACGGAGTTAGGGGGAGGTTAAGATAGATTGGAAGGATGGTGATGAGAGGAGGGTCTCATAGACTCAAAAGGAAACTGGAGAACTTTCTGGGAAAGAACAGGAAGCAGCTGCAGGGGCCTGGGTGGCACGCGCCAGCAGTTGGTGGCTGTTGTTGTCAGGTGCTGCCTCTAGCATGAGTCGGCTCTCCCACAGTCCATCTATGCAGGGTTCTGTTCAATCCAGATTCTCAGCAAGAGGCCCCAGCTGGCCTGGCTTAGCTCAGGGGCCCACTCTTTGGCCCCTGAGGGCAGACACCTTGACTAATTCTCCCAAGAAGAATGTGCACTGGTGACTGGGTAGTTCCCTAAAGCAACATCAGAGAAGAGAAGAAGTGGGCGAGCTGGTAAAACCAGCAGAAGCCATGGCACTTGATGACCAAGAACCTCAGTTGAGCTCCCCTTTGCTCCCCAAACAGCACTTCACCTGCATCACAGTCATGGCTATGTTCATCCATTCACCAACAAGCATTTCCTGTGCAGTCACCGTATGGAAAGAGGTGTTAGCCGTTTCTGAGAGACAGCAGTGAGCAAAATGCACATGATCCTTATCTCATAGAATTTCCATTCCACTTGGGCAGACAGGCTTTTCTTTGCCTTTTAATTGCCTTAATTGGACTTTTTAATTGCAAAAGTATTAATAATATATGCTTGTTGTAACAAGCGAACTGATACAATGACAGGAAAGAAAAATTTAACATAGCTGCATAATACTACTTTTTCTATTTTTGAGACAGGGTCTTGCTCCGTTGCCCAGGCTGGAGTGCAGTGGTATGATAAAGGCTCACTGCAGCCTCAAATCTGCTGGGCTCAAGTGATTCTCCCACTTCAGCCTCCCCAGTAGCTGGGACTACAGGCGTCCACTACCACACCTGGCTAATTTTTTAATTTTTCTAGAGCCAGCATTGCCCAGACTGATCTATATTGCCCAGACTTGTCTTGAACCCCTGATATCAAGCAATCCTCCTTCCTTGGCCTCCCAGAGTACCAGGATTATAGGCATGAGCCACTGTGCCTGGCTCCATAATATTTCATACAGTGAATGCATCATTACTTATTAAAATATTCATCTGTCAAGTCATTGAGATTATTTCCTACATTTTATTCCCATAATAAGAACAATGGAAACAATATGCATACACATTATTATGGCAGTTTGCATACATGTGTGTATGCATATATCTATACATGTTACCTATATCTCGATCTGTATGTGTGTGTATGTGTATATCTTTGTGTTACTATTTTTATTTCTATGAAATAGTCTTCCAAGTGGTATAGTTATGTCAGAGATCTGTATCTTCAATTGAAATAGTTAATACCAATTCATTTGCCCCAAAATTGCAGCAATTAACATTCCTATCACCAATTTATAAGTGTTGTTGTTTTTTCACATCTCCAGTACTAGGTGCTATCATCATATTTATTTTTGCCAAGCTGGTGAGTGTCGGATGGTTTCAGATTCTTATTTTAATTTGAACTTTCCTGGCTACCAGTGGGGTTGAGCATTCTTTTATCTATTTATTGGCCCTTTAATTTTTCTTTTCTGAAAACTGCCTAATCATCGGCTTTCCGCATTTTTCTACTGGGTTACTGTAGTTTCCTGAGCATTTTTTAAGGAGTTCTCTATGTACTGGGGACACTAACATGGTGTCTGTCATACATGTTGCAGAAGTGTATCATTTGTCTTTTGACTTTGTTTATGGTAAACAAATTGTTTCATTAGGTATGAAAATATGTCGTTCGTGTGTGTGTGTGTGTGTGTGTGTGTGTGTGTGTGTGTGTGTGTGTATTTCCCTTGCCAATCTCTAATTTGAAAACATATCTGGGGGCCAGGCCCAGTGGCTCATGCCTGTAATCCCAGCACTTTGGGAGGCCGAGGCAGATGGATCACCTGAGGTCAGGAGTTCAAGACCAGCCTAACCAACACGATGAAACCTTGTCTCTACTAAAAATACAAAATTAGCTGGGCGTGGTGGCGCATGCCTGTAATCACAGCTACTTGGGAGGCTGAGGCAGGAGAATCACTTTAACTTGGGAGGTGGAGGTTGCAGTGAGCCAAACTCGCACCATTGCACTCCAGCCTGGGCAACAAGAGTGAAACTCTGTCTCAAGGAAAAAAAAAAAGAAAGAAAGAAAGAAAGAAAAAGAAACGTGTCTGGATATAAACGTGGCCCTGGTGTTTGTACCCACCTGCCGGTGTCCTCATTTGCTATTGCATCCATGTATGCATGTGTGTTAAGAGCATCTTTGTCTGTTCAAGTAGCTTTTGAGGTATACTTGGGTTTAGAGCAATGTGTGTTTTCCTTGATGGCTGAGTTTCCACCTTGCGTGAGGAGGCTTCTCCTACCTCAGGTAACACATACATGCTTTTCTGATCCTTTTACCTCACAGGAGCCAGGATGATGAACTCCTCAGCTTAAAACCCTTCACCAGCTTCCCACTGCCCCAGACATAGACCCCCGAATCCTCAACGTGGCCTAAAGGAATCTGAGAAGAGAGAAGAGGGTTCCATTCTGAAGCAGACCTGGTCAGCACAGAATAAACCCCACACAGGACTCGCTATGCCCACGGAGCACCGCTTCAGTTACAGACAGAGGGAGGCTGGGAATGGCACTCAGTGACCCAAAGCTCCTGCTTTCTTAGATCAATATCTAAGAACTTTTTTAGCTGATCTTCAAATCCAGGGACATCTCAACAGCCTGGAAATGTGTTCTTTTTTCATCCCACCAGGCCATCTGCCCCTTCATGTGTTTTGAGAGCCTGTGCCGAGGTCCCTGTGGGTGGGCAGGAGCTACCTACAATGGTCTCTTGGCTCCCAGACCCCTTCTGATTCCCCAAACTCCCTCCCTGCCAAGTAGACCAGAAGGACCCAAGTCTAAGCAGCACCTGTCCCTAAGACACCCTTCTTGGTCTCTGAAGTGGCTGAAGAGTACCCATCGTACTTACCGTTCTCAAGCCCTCTTGCCCACCACAGGCGTGTTCACAGCAGGAGCTTGCTGAGTGGAGGAACTCACATCACACTGGCCTCTGAGTTACAGGAGAGCTGGGGGCTGGGCGCCTTCTGAGCCTGAAGCCCGGGAGTGCTCATCACATCTGGGGCTCACCCTTTTCTTCTTATGGGCCAAAGTGCTTTGACAGGGGGAGCTTGCCTTTGGTTTCCTGGGTGGTTGTGAGCACCATGGCAACAGCAGGGAAGGTTCCAAGCACTTCCTGTTCCAGGGCTGGGTTTCAGTTCAGGCTGGGGCTGTGTCCAAGGCCCTGGCTGATGAGGAGAAGATATGAGTGATGGCATCTCAGAGACCAATGTGGGTGCCAAGTGCCTCCATTCCTGTTCCTCCTGGGGCAACCCAGGACAGAGCCTCAATGAGAGTCAACCCCCAAATCCTCAGGCTTCATCTGTAAAAGGAGGAGATTAGACTGGAAACTTCTCAGATCCCTCCCAGCTCTGGCATTCTGGGGTGCTCTATTTCTAGTGTTTTCTGGGTTCTGACAAAAATATTTCAATAAAAATTGAGGGTTCTGCATTATTAAAAGCTATGCCTAATGAGGTACTTTGTTGATTATGATTTTTAATGCTGCTTTCTCTGGGAACTAAGGACTGCCTAAAAGTCAAGGACAAGACCAAGAGCCTTCAAGCTGGCATCCAGAGTGAAGACGTTTGGGTTTTTCTGTTTGTTTTGTTTTGTTTTGAGATGGAGTCTCGCTCTATCGCTCAGGCTGGAGTGCAGTGGTGTGATCTTGGCTCACTGCAACCTCCGCCTCTTAGGTTCACTGGGTTCAAGAAATTCTCTTCCCTCAGCCTCCTGAATAGCTAGGATGACAGGTGCCCGCCACCACATCAGGCTAATTTTTGTATTTTTAGTAGAGTCGGGGTTTCACCATGTTGGCCAGGCTGGTCTCAAACTCCTCAGGTGATCCGCCCACCTCGACCTCCCAAAGTGCTGAGATTACAGGTGTGAGTCACCGCGCCCGGCCCTGAGTACAATCTTGCAGTGTCCTCAGCAACATGGCCTGTGAAGCCCATGACTTGAACTAGGGGATGGGGAGGTAGAGGCCACATGGGTCAGGGCCACATGGGTCACCATGGGTCCATCAGAGGCCTGGACCACCACCCCAGGGATCACAGAAATCCCTAGTTACAGTAACAGGAACCCAGAGACAGTACAGCCTGTAAGACCCGATGCCAGCCTCTCCTAGGTCACATACATCCTAAAGTAAAACAGGAAGGTAGCTGTGCTGTCTCCTGTGGCTGTGATCTAGAAACTATGAAATACTCTATGAATGGGAGGTGCCCCTAAATTTATCTCCCCCTCAGCCCTCAAATCCTGTGATTCTACCCCTCCCAACACCGTATTCTGCTTTGCAGAGAAGCTGATCACTGTGGAATGTTCTGTGAGTGGCTTACCCATCTCTGCATCCCCAGAGCCCAGCAACCAAACTTGGACTTTAGAAAGTGCTCTATAAACATCTCTAGAATTGGGTAATTGGATGTACTAGTCTGTAACCACCACTCTGCCTGTGCACATGCTTGAGTGCCACATGCATACGTGTGCACATGTGATTATGTATGCATAGGTATGTCTGCTTCTGTGTTTGGGTATGAACATGGCCCTGGTGTTTGTACCCACCTGCCTATGTCCTCATTTGCAATTGCATCCATGTATGCATGTGTGTTAAGAGCATCTTTTGGCTGTTCTAGTAGCTTCCAGAGGTGCACTTCAGCTTAGAGCAATGTCTCTTGGTTGTGCACTGGATTTCGGGTTTGGGAGCGAGATGACAGGAGGTTTCATGGTAGTATACAACTGATCCCAGCAACGGCCACCTGGTTGGGGAAACAGCTGATTGTCAGGTTTCTGGTGTTTAGTAGAAGCAGCAGCAGCTGGTGTTGCAGTCAGGATTTGAGGTGGGGTCCAAAGGAATCCACTGCTGCTCACCTCTCAGTGTAGCTTCTGGCGATCAGGAGGTAGGGAGGGACGTGCACAATAAGAAAACCGGTGGGAGAATAATGTAGGCGACAAGGGGCCAAAGACACTGGCATGTCTTGGGGAGGGGGGTTAGGAGCCCCAGTTCAGGGTCTGCCCACCATCCCTAGACCCTCAGGGCCAGCACCAGACAGGAAGCAGGCCTCTAACAGCTGCTGCAGGGGCCTCAGGAGCCAGAGGCAGAGGCTGCACTCCTGAGCCAGGTGTGGGCCTCTCTCAGGCTTGAAAAACAAACACTTGTTGTTAGTTTATTTTCCTGTTACAAATGCAATGCATTTATAGGCACAAATTCAGAGGCAAAAATTTTTAACAATAAAAATCATTTGGATTCCACAACCAAATTCAGCATCATTAATAGTACATCAACATTTTGTATGTATACACACATTTTTGACAATGCGGTCCTACTGTACTTACTCTTTAACCTGAGTTATTTGCTAAGTATTAGACATTTTCTTCTGCATTTTTGTGCATGACTGTTAATGGCAACACTGTGCTTTGTTTCTGTTTTTGGTTTTGGTTTTTTTGAGAAGTCTCACTCGTGTCCCCTAGGCTGAAGTGCAATGGTGCAATCTCGGCTCAATGCAACTTCCGCCTCCCGGGTTCAAGCATTTATCCTGCCTCAGCCTCCCCAGTAGCTGGGATTACAGGCGCCTGCCACCACACTCAGCTAATTTTTGTATTTTTAGTAGAGACGGGGTTTCACCATGGATGCTGTGCTTCTTGATGCAGAGGCAGATGGGGACTAGGGTAACCAGCCCCTTCTGCTGGACATGCGGCAGCTGGAGGTACAACCCACCCCTCAGGCTGAGCTCCCTCCTGGAGCAATGACAGAGGCTCATCTGGGCACCCACGCACGGGTATGCATACACAGCCGCTGCGCACCTTCTCTCTTCCCTGATCATTGTGTTGCTCTCCACTCCCCCTCAGGTCTGGTCCATGGCTTCCCTCCTAGCCCAGTGCCAAGAACATGGGGGCGGAGACGGGCTGAACAGAAGTCTGTGTACAAACAGACAGATTTCTTCCCTCTACACTGCTCCTTCCCCTCCACCCCAAACTTTTCCCTGCTAACTGTCCCTGGAATGTAGGGCCCCATGTAAGATTTCAATTAACAAGTTTGAAAGACATTACCCTGGACCAGTTTTATATCCCATCTGCTCCATCATGGGCCAACCTAGGGATGCCCTCCAGGTATCACTTCTGGGGTGCAGTTGAGAGCGGGCTCCCTCTAGTGGCCACTCTGGGGAAGCGTCCCAGGATGCCACGCTCCCAGCAGTCCCCAGGCAGAATCCTGGCCTTGGCTGAATCCATCGCTTTCTGCAGGGTCCGGCTCAAGGATCCGAGGCCTTCAGCTCACCCCCAGAACTCTCAACATATACATCCCCCACAGATCTCCCAGGAGCTGAGCTATTGCCCAAAGTCAAAGACAGCAAATACAAATAAATGGAAATAGCCTCCAGCATGTTTCCCTGAGAGCTCTTTCCTGGGGGTATCAGTAACTGAGCCCCTTGGGCCCAGCCTATGAAGCAGTCAATGAGCTGGAAATCCAAAGAGCAAAGGTCTTCAGTGACTCAGACATCAAACCTCACTGAGCACTGCCCTTAGCTGGAACCCCATTATGCCAAAATCTCCTATGTCACAGTTCCAGGGGGATTATGAAGGGAAATCCATCTTCTTCCTGCACACTTAGGCATGGGGAGCTCATTACTTTGCCAGAGAGCCCATTTCAGCCCACTCCATCCAGTCACCCATATGGAGAGGTGGTGGAGTACACTGAAAAGAACACCCAGTTCTGACCTGGTTCTGACTGGCTAGCTGTGCGACCCTAGACACATCCTTCACCTCTATTGAGGAAAAGAGAAAATCCGGAGCCTCAGGGGCCTGGAAGATGGAGATTCTGTGCCTGAGAGCCCCAGTGCACCCAGCCAGGATACAGGTTGCTCTGGGAGTGCTGCCTCCAGACCAGCCCCTGGTGGAGGCCTTGCATGAGCCAAAAGACAGACAGTACATGGCTGGGCACAGTGGCTCATACCTGTAATCCCAGCACTTTGGGAGGCTGAGGTGGGCAGATCGCCTGAGGTCGGGAGTTCGAGACGAGCCTGACCAACATGGAGAAACCCTGTCTCTACTGAAAATACAAAATTAGACAGGTGTGGTGGTGAGCACCTGTAATCCCAGCTATTCAGGAGGCTGAAGCAAGAGAACCGTTTGAACCCAGGAGGTGGAGGTAATCCCAGCACTTTGGGAGACTGAGGCAGGTGGATTTCTTGAGGTCAGGGGTTCAAGACCAGCCTGGCCAACATGGTGAAACCCCGTCTCCACTAAAAATACAAAAATTAGCTGGGCGTGCTGACGTGCGCCTGTAATTCCAGCTACTCAGGAGACTGAGGCAGGAGAATCACTTGAACCCCGGAGGTAGAGGTTGTAGTGAGCCGAGATCATGCCATTGTACTCCAGCCTGGGTGACAGAGCCAGACTCTATCTCAAAAAGAAAGAAAGAACGAATAAGATTGGGTCAGAACTGGCCATGAACTTGCTGTGGAACCTTGAGGAAGTCCTCTCTTTGGCTCTGGCTTCCAATGTTCTCATCTGCCATAAAAAGTTCAGCTAAAACAACTCCTCTGCTCCATCCACTGTTGATCCTCTTTTCCAAGATGTTCTGGAGTGTGGTGATGCCAACGCAGCCGGCCCAGGGCTGCTTCCTTCACTCACTTAGACAAGGCCTGAGTGTCAAGATTGTATTGGGTGCTGGAGATAAAATGGGGACAAAGAGAAGGATGTGCACTACCTTCGCAGCCTCTGATGTTATTTGTGTAAAATTGTTCTTTAATACTGGACTTACATTTCTACATAACGTTTTTGTTATGATGTTTTTAAAGTAAATTTATTTTATCAAGGAAGTAACATATTTGGTATGCTGGTTTATTTGGAATATACATTAAAATAACTACATAACTTAAAAAAGGTCATACATGAGCTGCCCCTGAAAATCACCTTCCATGCCTGGGCACCTTACTTTTGGAGGTTTAACATCGGCACTGTAAGGCTCACAGTGTAGTCAAGTCAGTGAGCTGCGGGAATTCATAGGAGAGGCAATCAACCGCATTAACCTGCTTTGTCATTCTGACGCTTTGACATCTGGGGCCTTGCTCACTCTGGAGGGACTGCCCCTCCCAGGGCTAGCTATTAATAATTCCTGGAGTTAGTAAAGGACTCCTACAAGCATGCCTTTCATATACAAACCAATTAAGCTAGAGCCTATACCCCAACCACCTCCCTTATCAAGCTGTGAAACTCAGGGCTGCTATCCACTTGCCCTAATCACCCAGGGTCAAGTACTACCAGATGAGAGACAATCCCTATACCCCAGAGCCCACTGAAATTATTCAAACTCACCCATTCTAAACCTGATTACACTGCCTCCCTCATTTCTTCCCATGGGATCCACAATAAAGGCTCTTGCCCATGTTTCCCCTCACCCCTTGTGTCTCCTAACCTTACTGCTTCCTTGTGTGCCCTTGTGCCCAGTGGCAGGGTATGCCCCCTCCTCTTGAGAATTGTAACAAACTATTCAAAGGCAATTATCTCCTTATCTATTGGCCTCGCCATATCTCAATCATAACAAAATAATAATAAAACCTACATTTTTAAACACTGACCCAGGCCCAAGGGTTCAAGGAGGACTCCCTGGAGAAAGTGACATAACAGAATAGAAGTTAGCTGAAAGACAAAATGATGGGGACAAGGGTGAGTGTCCCAGGCAGAGAGAACAGCATGTGCTAGGCTGGAGTAGAGAAATAAGGAGCCACTGAAGGAATGGCCCATACAGTCTGACTGCAGTGCAGGGTGAGAATGGAGGAAGGAGGAAGGAAGAGGAGAAGTGGCTCAATATCCCAGGGCTCATAGAGGCCAAGGAGTCTGAGTTTTATGTAGTCCTATCTCTTTTGATCTCCAAGTTGGTTTTTCAAATAAACCCAAAAGACAGTCCATGAACTCTCCAGATTCTGCCATTGAGAGTCCAGCCCTGAGAGCGCAGAAGCCCTGCCCGGCTGGTCACCACCAATGTGGGGAGGTACCACTGGTCCACTGACCACCCAAGGGAAACAAACAAAGATGAGGAAGAACAAAGCCACTCCAATGCATCTAACAATGTACACCCTAGGTGAGCCCCACTGCGGCTTCTATCCACTGAACAAGCAGAATGCTTTCTATAGTCCACAAATGCAGTGAAGGAGTCAAGTCCAGACTTGAAGGCAGCACCACCAACTAGACTAAAGAATGGATGTAAGGGCCCACCACATGTGCTTGGGAGCATCCTCACCCCTGTACCTCCTCTCCCCACCACCTTCTGCTTGGAATTCCTCATAAAGAAAACACTTCTCCAGGGATTGTAAAGGATGTGGGCCTTTCTATCATGAAGACCTGGGATTGAATCCTGGCTGCCTCATTTCCTGATTGACCTGAGCAAGTCTTCTAACTTCTCTGAGCCTCTTTCCTTCTTGAAAAATAGTTTTCATTCACTAAATCATTTCAAGACTAAAAAGAGATAGCACTAACCTGAGTGAGCCATTGTGGGTGCTCAAATGTTAATATCTTTCCTCCTTCCAACAATCCTTGTGCATACACACACTTTGACCCTGCCCATACACATCTCTACCCTGCTTTGTTCAATTTTTTCTAGTGAGAATATTGTGGAAAACAAAGAGGCTTTGTTCAGGATCTGGGCAAGATGGCAGAATAGGAAGCTCCTGATCTTATTCCCCGACAGGGAAACTAACTTGACGATATACAGCTCAAAAAGCCTTTTGAGATCCCAGAAATGAGTTAAGAAGTTGTTGTA